TAATGGGAGACATCAAATGAATATACAATATGGAGACATCAGAAACAGTTAAGAAGGTTTAAAGTATCTGACAAGTTCACGTTAAGAGATTGCACATCGGCCGGGCATGGTGGCTCATGCCTGTAATTCCAGCACTTTGGGAGGCTGAGGCGGGTGGATCACAAGGTCAGGAGATCGAGACCATCCTGGCTAACACAGTGAAACCCTGTCTCTACTAAAGAATAAAAAATGCAAAAAATTAGTTTGGCATGCTGGTGCGCACCTGTAATCCCAGCTACTTGGGAGGCCGAGGCAGGAGAATTGCTTGAACCAGGGAGGCGGAGGTTGTGGTGAGATCACACCACTGTACTCCAGCCTGGGCGACAGAGTGAGACTCAGTCTCCAAAAAAAAAAAAAAGAGAGATTGCACATCAAGTTTCTAAGTCCTGAGATCATAAAATAAAGCTAAAGTTCAGAGGCAAATGAATTGATCTGGGATAGCTTCCTAAGAACAGTGAGTTTTTAGTGAATTTTGAAGTAAGAAAAGAACTTGAGTTGACAAAAGGAACTGGAAGCATTTTCCAAAACAAGGTAATGGCAAGTTCAGAGCTTTGTAGCTGAAGTGAACTGGGACCAGGTTAAAGTCATTGCAGTAAGAAACCATGTGGGCACCCAGGAGACATAAAGGTCATGGGAATTTGCACGAAGTGGGGTGGGGAGGACAGAGGAGGCACAAGCGCAAGATGTAGATTTTGGGAACCTTCTGATTGAGAGGCAGGATCTTTCAGAAGAAGACAAGGCAGGGGTCAAGGCATTTGCCTTTGGGATCTGCTGAAAATTGGATAACAATACACAATTGGCACTGGCAGCTGGAGTATCAGAGGCAGCAGCTCCTGGCCGACAGACAAGCCTTCCACATGGAGCAGCTGAAGTATGCGGAGATGAGGGCTCGGCAGCAGCACTTCCAACAGATGCACCAACAGCAGCAGCAGCCACCGCCAGCCCTGCCCCCAGGCTCCCAGCCTATCCCCCCGACAGGGGCTGCTGGGCCACCCGCAGTCCATGGCTTGGCTGTGGCTCCAGCCTCTGTAGTCCCTGCTCCTGCTGGCAGTGGGGCCCCTCCAGGAAGCTTGGGCCCTTCTGAACAGATTGGGCAGGCAGGGTCAACTGCAGGGCCACAGCAGCAGCAACCAGCTGGAGCCCCCCAGCCTGGGGCAGTCCCACCAGGGGTTCCCCCCCCTGGACCCCATGGTAAGTGTCATGTTCCAGAACTTTTGTTGACTAGAAGAATCCAGGTGAAGGTCCCAGTTCCCCTCAAAGGGAATACAAGATGAGTCTGGAGATGAGGTTAGCCTCAATTTCTATAGATGGGCTCATCTCTCTTAGGCCCCTAAACCAGCAGGAATCCTTCCCCAAACTCGAGAGCTTTGGTATTTTGTTCACTTACTCTAGTGTCAGAAAAAGGGAAGACAGTGCCAAGGAATGGCTAGATTATCCTTGTTTGTAAAAGTGAGTTATTCTTTGGGAGGCAGAGGCGGGTGGATCACGAGGTCAAGAGATCAAGACCATCCTGGCCAACGTGGTAAAACCCCATCTCTACTAAAAATACAAAAATTAGCTGGGTATGGTGGCGGGCGCATGTAGTACCAGCTACTCGGGAGGCTGAGGCAGGAGATTGCTTAAACCTGGGAGGCGGAGGTTGTAGTGAGCCAAGATCATGCCACTGCACTCCAGCCTGGCGACAGAGTGAAACTCCGTCTAAAAGAAAAATAAAAAAGAAAAGGCGAGTTGTTAAGCAACATTTTATACCTAACTTTCTCCATCTCTCATCTTTATTCTTAGGCCCCTCACCGTTCCCCAACCAACAAACTCCTCCCTCAATGATGCCAGGGGCAGTGCCAGGCAGCGGGCACCCAGGCGTGGCGGGTAATGCTCCTTTGGGTTTGCCTTTTGGCATGCCGCCTCCTCCTCCTCCTCCTGCTCCATCCATCATCCCATTTGGTAGTCTAGCTGACTCCATCAGTATTAACCTCCCCCCTCCTCCTAACCTGCATGGGCATCACCACCATCTCCCGTTCGCCCCGGGCACTCTCCCCCCACCTAACCTGCCTGTGTCCATGGCGAACCCTCTACATCCTAACCTGCCGGCGACCACCACCATGCCATCTTCCTTGCCTCTCGGGCCGGGGCTCGGATCCGCCGCAGCCCAAAGCCCTGCCATTGTGGCAGCTGTTCAGGGCAACCTCCTGCCCAGTGCCAGCCCACTGCCAGGTGAGAAGGGGCCAAGAGGGGAGAAGGGTGAGGGAGAGGGGTCCACATGGAGGGAGGGTGAGCGGGCAGGTGGGGGAAGAGGTCAGGTACTAGACTTTCCACAGTCTTTTTTGAACACTCTGGTAAAATTAGAATACAGGAGGAAAGGCCTCTCTGGCTGTCCTCCACCAGTCCCCAGCCTGGCAGCTGCCACCTTTGGGATGGTATTGGGGCCTTTCACTGGTGGGTCATGGAGCAGTCATGTGGCAGAGAGCATCTCAGTTGTAAACTTGAAAAGCAGCTGTTTGCATGATGATTGTCATCCCTTTCCTTATTCCTATCACATTCAGATGCCCCATTTAGAGAGTCTCCTTTCTATCAGTTTTTCTCAGTATGAGGTAGAAGAGGGTGTTGGGAACAGAAGTTGAACATTGTGGGTACCTCATTCATCCACCCAACCACTGCATGCCATGCCCGGTTCTGTCTGTTTTGGTCTGGGTCTGGAGCCCTCTCTCCTGCGCACTCTAACTGATTCATCTTACTTTTCTCCACAGACCCAGGCACCCCCCTGCCTCCAGACCCCACAGCCCCCAGCCCAGGCACGGTCACCCCTGTGCCACCTCCACAGTGAGGAGCCAGCCAGACATCTCTCCCCCTCACCCCCTCTGGAGATCACGGTTCCAGGAACAGCCCTTCCCCCACCACTGGGACCCTCCCCAGCCTGGAGAGTTCATCACTACGTAAGGAAAGCTCCTTCCGCCCCTCCAAAGCCCTCACCATGCCTAACAGAGGCGTGCATTTTTATATCAGATTATTCAAGGACTTCTGTTTAAAAGATGTTTCTAATGTCTGGGAGAGAGGATAGGATGGGAATGCTGCCCTAAAGGAAGGGCTGGTGAAAGGTGTTTATACAAGGTTCTATTAACCACTTCTAAGGGTACACCTCCCTCCAAACTACTGCATTTTCTATGGATTAAAAAAAAAAAAAAAGTAGATTTTAAAAAGCCACATTGGAACTCCCTTCTACCCACGAAAAAATAACCAATTTTTACATTTTTTGAGGGGGAGTGAGTTTTAGGAAAGGGGAATTAAAATTCCAGGGAGAGCTCTGGGGATAGAACAGGGTGCAGACTCTGTCTCTCCCCAAGCCCCTTTTTAGTGACTGAGTCAAGGCCCCAGCTCCCCTAGCCCACCCTACACTGAGCTTATTCGAGTTTATTCGTACTAATGATCCCTCCTGCGGCTTCCTCATTGTTGCTGTTTTAGGCCACCCCAGCTCAGCCAATGATTCCTTTCCCTCTGAATGTCAGTTTTGTTTTTAAAAGTCACCTGCTTAGTTGATGTCAGCGTATGTGTATTTGGTGGGGAAAACCTAATTTCGGGGATTTCTGTGGTAGGTAATAGAAGAAAGGGCAGTGGGGGCTGTTCTCCTTCCTTCCCTGGGCTGTATCCATGGACTCCTGGAAGGCGCAGAGAAGGGAGCTGTAAGAGGATGCGAAGTTTTAAAACCTGAAATTGTTTTTTAAAGCACTTAAGCACCTCCTTATTATGACTTGGTGGGTCACCCCTTAGCCTCCTCCCTCTCCCACCAAGACTGTGAGAACTTCAGCCGATAGCTGGGGGCTCCCCAGATGAGGATGCAGGGATTTGGGAGCAGTGGAAGAGGGTGCCCAACCTTGGGCTGGACCAACCCTTGGCTCGGAGCTCAACTCTGCTTCCTGCATTCCTGCTCCACGTCCCAGCTCCTCCCCTGTGACTGGAAGGCAGGTGTGCCTCCAGGCTCTGCACTGGTTCTTCTTGGTTCCTCCCACCAGGCCCTTTGTTCCTCATGTCCCCGTGTTTCTCTCCCTCTGCGTCTTAGCACCTTTCTTCTGTTCAAAGTTTTCTGTAAATTTTCTTTTTCTTTTTTTTCTTTTTTTTTTCTTTTTTTTTTTTTTTTATAAATTAATTTGCTTTCAGTTCCATCTTGTGGGTGCATTCTGTGTTCTTCTTACCTGTGGCTGTCAGGCAGGGGGACTGGGATTGGAGCAGCTTTCCTGGAGTCCCTCACAGCGGCGTTTACCTGGGCCGCAGAGACATTATGCAAGCCACAGGGCCTACAGACACTGCGCCTCCCCACGAAACAGGAACAGCAGCACAGATGTCAAGACTATGTGCTGGGATAGGAGCAGAGGCTCTCACCTGCCCTAAAAGCTGTTTTAAGACTTGGAAGGACATTCCCACAATAATGGAATTTTGTATCTTTATCCCTTCAGAAGTAGTGGTTTCACTCCTTCCCTTATTAGGGAGGAGGCAAGCCCCTTACCTCCTTTTGTTGTTATTGGCCTTTCGCCCTGCTGAGGTGATGGACAGGCTTAGGCAGTGCTAATAATGGCCTGGCTTTAGCTCCAATAAACACTCCACAGGCTTCCCCACAAAAGGCCTTACTGGGAGCTTGGGAGGGCGGGGGCCAGATTTAAGGAGCTGGAAGGCTAGGAGAAGACAGCCTGACATGGAATGGAACAGGGATGGCCAGCCTTGGTCCTACCAGGATCTAGGTAGGACCAATCAAGGTAGGAGATTTCCTAATCTCCCAAGAGGTAGCTTGTGTAAGATGGATGAATGGGGCCAGCAGTTTCTAAATGAAGCCCAGACGGCTAGTACAGGGCCTTCCTTCCTCAGCTTTCCTCAACCCCTGCACCATTGACCTTGGACTCTGCCTCGGGGCAGAAATCATCACCACCTCACCTTCTTCCCCTTTACCCTGTTCAGGAAAGAAAGCAGAACCGAACCGAGGGCCCAGAGAGCAAGTTTATTTGGTGAATGCTGACGGCAAACATCATCCAAGAGACAAGATGGGAAAGGTGCTGAGACAAGAGAGCCTAGGGAAACTTCAGGCTAGATACAAAATTCACACAGGGAAAGGCACGGAGTTGGGAGACTGGGAGGGTCCTCAGCCATTCAGCACCATGCGGACGAGCTCTGTGGAAAGGAAAGGTGGAATGAGCCAGGGAACAGGGCTGTGGAGGGGTACACCAAGGGCCAGGGGACTACAAGACTGCAAAGGTAGCATAAGAGGGAACATGCCCACAGCAACCAACCCTGGGGTCAGTTTGCAGAGGAGCCACCTTGAGTCTGACCAGTTCTCCCTGCCCCTAGCTCCCCTCCCACCAGCTGTTAGTCCCCCACCCCACCCTGAGCAGCAAGAACACAGCAGAGGCAGAAAAGTTCTCAACTACACCTACAGCTACTGTCAGCCACTGGCGGGAGGAGAGGACAAGAGTTTTGGGTTAGGGTACCTCCAAGCTGCCCAGTGAGGGAAGGGGAAAGGACTGTTCAGCTATAGCAGCAGAATGGGGCAGGCAACCCATACCCCTCTATGCCAGCTACCCATGCTCCAGGGCCAGAAGGTCACCCTAAAGCAAGACTGGTATACAGGCTGGTGAGAGTTCCCAGACACCAGCACCCAGGGCCCTATAAGTAAAACCTCAGGGCCCATTCTAGAAGTAAGGAGGTACCTTACCCCCAGGCTGTATTCCTCTATGAGGAATCCCTCCCCTCCCTAGTCAGCTCCATGCAGAAACATGCCAGGAGGAAGTCAGATGGTAGTAGGGTAAGGGCAGGGGATAAAGAGCACAGGTTGAGGAAAAAAAACACTGGGGAGATCAACTAGAGGAGAGGCTGGGAGGCGCCGTACCCGCCCCATGGGCCCGTCACCCCGACAGGATATGCCTCACAAACGCTGCAGGAAGGAAGAGACATTCATGGTGAAGACAAGACACAGACATGGGGTGAGGGGTCAGGCGGTGGGGACAGACATTCCATTATTTCACTTCTCATTCCTTCCCACCCTCTACAATACTGCTCCTTCCTTTCCTGTTACACCCCCCTGACCTCCCACTCCTGGGCTGGGCTGGGCAGGGCCCTGCACCTTGCCTCCTGGCTCTTTTTGGAGCCCAAGTCCAGGGATAGGGAGAACCCCAAACACTATACTTGACCTGCCCCATGTGGCTGCGAAAGCGCAGTTCACCCCTTACCTTCATAGTTGATACAACCATTGCTGTCCTCGTGCCCTGCCACCAGCATCTCTACTTCTTCCTCTGTCATCTTCTCACCTGCAGGGGGAAAGAAAGCATCTTTGGAATTGGGAGACAAGTGAGGTATTCAGGGTGGCATCTCAGCTCAAGGACAAGGACACAACCTTACCCAGTGTGACAAGAACATGCCGGATTTCAGCACCCATGACGGTGCCATTTCCTTCCTTGTCAAACACCCGAAGTCCTTCAACATAATCCTCATAGGTGCCCTGGTCCTTGTTCTTGGCCACTGTCTGCAGCATGGGCAGAAAGTGCTCAAAGTCCAGCACCTTCACATTCATCTCTGCCATAAAGGAGGTTGAAGTGTCAGGCCAGAGAAGTAACACAAGTTCTCAGGACAGGGGATAATAGAGACCTCAACTGAACAGAGAGATGAGAGATGACTCCCTCCTATAAGCAGGGAAATCCATGGGATTTGCTAATCCAGACTTTTGAGTTTGGGGCCTATGAAGATAAAGGGAAGCTCTTAGCTGAGGAACTGTGGGCCCATGACCACACTGAGGAGTTGTTCTTGAGGCCCCTCACCATCACTCTTGGGGTTCCCCAGGACCTTGAGCACCTCGGCGTTGGTGGGGTTCTGGCCCAGGGCCCTCATCACGTCCCCACACTGGCTGTACAGGATCTTGCCATCACCTGTTCGGTCAAACAGCTGGAAGGCCTCCTTGAACTCTGAGGATTCAGATGAATGTCAACACAGGATTTGAGGGTTAACCCAAACTCTACCTCAGAGCCTGCTGCCCATTCAACTTTGATCATGCTGAGGAAACCAGATATCTGCACCAAACTGTACACCGAAGTGTACTTAAGAGGGATCTATTTATCTTCCTCCCAACTCAGGTGACCTATATAGAGCCTTCCTCCCCCTCTGGCAGCCTGGTAACATCCATTTACACACCCCCCTCTGCCTGCGGCAGACCTGCCAATCTCCACTGGTGCTACTACACTTCTCAGGGCAGGAATTCGCCACCGCCCAGTCTCAGTCCTGTCCTTATAAGGAAGTGAGAGCAGCAGCCTGGGACTGGGTCATCTCAACCTGCCACTTCGCACCCCTCCAGTACAAAGAGAACTTCCAGAGGGTAGGGCTACAGTCATATCCTTAGCAAACTCCCCTGTCCTGTCCCCATCTGCACAGAATGTCAGGTCACTGCTCTACAGTCTTCACAACTGCAAGCCGGGAGGTCAGGGGCAGTTATCACAGGAGGAGAAAAAAGACAGAAGTAGCTGATTAAGGGACAAAGGAGAGCAGGCAGCTTTATACACCCTCCCCAGACCCCAGACACAGCAGGCATTAGGTGACCAAGTTTTTTCACATACCCACACCACCTAAAACTCACCCAGTGCCTGGGACTCAGATCTAGAGTGGAAGGGGAGGGAGGAAGAAAGTGAGAAAAGAAAATGGAGGATCCAAAAGAAGAGAAAATAATCCAGAGGGTAACCTCATAGGGGTGCTAAAGAGATGATAGATTAGAGGATAGGTGCTGGGGGGCGGGTGTCCCTCTCCCTAAGGGTGACCTCGGTAGGGATCAGAGATAACCTACCTGCGGTCTGGTCTTCGGTGAAGTCACACTGCTCAGAGAAGAGGGAAGTGGTCAGCATCTGAACGCCAATCCCCCGAGTTTCTATCCCAGCCCCACAAACTCCTGTTTCAGGCTGCAGACTCGCTTCCCCGCAGGATAGGGCCCCAGGCTTTCCAACCCCACCTCCAACCTTTCGGGTCCTCAGGTTCCCTTTGCCTCCTACCCCTGCCTTCTCCTCGCCCCCCACCCGTCTCTTCCCACCTCTCGCCCCCAATCCTGCCCATCTCCCAGGACCTGGGCCCCACCATCTTGACTGCTCAGCTCTGCGGGACCTTTTCCTGCAGTAATGGCTCCGACTCTCGGCCCAACCCTAGTCTTAGTACGTCCCAATGACGTCACCCTCGGCGGACTCAGCCAATAGGAACCGTGACCTGGGTTTATGCAGATGATTGCTACATTAGTAATGACGTGGGCGGGGCCCGCTGTTCCTTTCTCCAGCCCTACCTGGGCACAGAACCGCTCGGGGATGGGAGTGGGGGTGGGGGGTGGGGCACAATTAATCTGCGCCTCCCAACAGCAGGAACATTAGAGGACTGGAAGAGGAGAGAGCCCTCTTTTCCCGCCCTCTCCTCCTAGCACCCTCCCCGTCTCCCCCTGCTCCCCCAACCATGAAAAAAATAGTCTGAAACCAAGAGAGGAACCCAGTCTTTATTTTGAAACAATAGGTGGCCTCCTGGTGGCTGGAACGTGCTTCCGCCCGCGGGGCCCAGTGTCCGGACCCCACTGGATCTGTGGAAAAAAACGAAAGTTGCCAAGCGCTGGAGCCCGCGCAGCAACCGGACAGCAGAACGAACTCCGCTGCTTTTCTATGCTGGCTGAGAAGCGCGGGAGACTTGCCTCTTAAGGCGCGGTGAAGGGGTGGGAAGGCCCTACCTGTAGCACTCAGACGCTTAGGATGTGTTTCAAGAAGGCTGCAAAGAGAGGAGGCAAGAGGGGCTTCAGAAGCAGGCCTCTGGATAATACATCTGACTCTAAGTAATTCAGGGGTGCCCCCGCCCACACGCGGCAAGACGCCGGGCTCCCCTCCTCCCCCGGCCCCGCTCCTGCTCTTTTGGCCCCTCACCCTCGTAGTTGATGCAGCCGTTGCTGTCCTCATGTCCTGCCAGAACAGTCTCCACCTCCTCCTCAGTCATCTTCTCTCCTGAATCCCAGACACAACGTGTGAGTCCCTGCTTTCCCTCCTTCACTCACCCAGGCAACGCTTTTTTCCGAGACGATGATGTTTCGCTCCTGTCACCCAGGCTGGAGTGCAGTGGAGCAATCTCGGCTCACTGCAACCTCCGCCTCCGGTGTTTAAGCGATTCTCCTGCCTCAGCCTCCCGAGTAGCTGGGACTACAAGTTCACCGCTAATTTTTTGTATTTCTGGTAGAGATGAGGTTTCGCCATGTTGGGCAGGCTGCTCTCAAACTCTTGACCTCAGGTCATACACTTGCTTCGGCCTCCCAAAGTGCTGGGATTACAGGCGTGAACCACCGCCCCTGGCTTTTTCCATATATTTTTGTAAACAACAATATGAACGTAACAATTGTAATTTTTTTTTTTTTTTTTAGATAGGGTCTCCCTCTGTCACCCAGCTGGAATGCAGTGACATCATCATGGCTCACTGCAACTTCCACCTCCTGGGCTCCAGTGATTCACATCAGCTTTCTAAGTAGCTGGGACTATAAGTGTACACTACCACGCCTAGCTAATTTTTTTATTTTTTTGTGGAGATATGGTTTAGCCATGTTGCTCAGGCTGGTCTCAAACTCCTGAGCTCAAATGATCTGCCCACTTCTGCCTCCCAAAATGCTGAGATTACAGGTGTGAGCCACCACGCCTGGCCTTGTAATTTTTTTTTTTTTTTTTTTTTGAGACGGAGTCTCACTCTGGCACCCAGGCTGGAGTGCAGTGGCCGGATCTCAGCTCACTGCAAGCTCCGCCTCCCGGGTTCACGCCATTCTCCTGCCTCAGCCTCCCGAGTAGCTGGGACTACAGGCGCCCGCCACCTGGCCTGGGTAGTTTTTTTGTACTTTTTTTAGTAGAGACGGGGTTTCACCGTTTTCGCCAGGATCGTCTCGATCTCCTGACCTCGTGATCCGCCCGTCTCGGCCTCCCAAAGTGCTGGGATTACAGGCTTGAGCCACCGCGCCCGGCCTAATTTTTTTTTTTTTTTTTTTTTTTTTTTTTTAATAGAGAATGAATCTCACTATGTTGCCCAGGCTGGTCTCGAACTCCTGGGCTCAAGTGATCCTCCTGCCTTGGCCTCCTGAAGTGCTAGGATTACAGGAGTGAGCCACTGCGCCTGGCCAGGCCATGCTGTTTTGTTTTTTTTTTTTTTTGAAACTGAGTCTTGCTCTATTGCCCAGGCTGGAGTGCAGTGGCACGGTCTCAGCTCACTGCAACCTCTACCTCCCGGGTTAAAGCGATTCTCCTGCCTTAGCCTCCCGAGAAGCTGGAATTACAGGCACCCACCATCATGCCCGGCTAATTTTTGTGTTTTTAGTAGAGATGAGGTTTCACCATGTTGGCCACACTGGTCTTGGTCTCGAACTCCTGACCTCAAGTGATCTGCCTACCTCGGCTTCCCAAAGTGCTGGGATTACAGGCTTCAGCCACCGTGCCCGGCCTTTTTTTTTTTTTTTTTTGAGACAGAATCTTGCTCTGTCCCCCAGGCTGGAGTGCAGTGGTGTGATCTTGGCTCACTGCAACCTCAGACTCCCCGGTTCCAGCGATTCTTCTGCCTCAGCCTCCTGCGTAGCTGGGACTACAGGCACGTGCCACCATGCCCACCTAATTTTTGTATTACTAATAGAGACGGGGTTTCACCATGTTGGCCAGGCTGGTCTCGAACTCCTGAGCTCAGGTGATCCGCCCGCCTTGGCCTCCCAAAATGCTGGGATTAGAGGCGTGAGCCACCGCACCTGGCCAGGCCACACTCTATTTTAGAGTCTCCCACCCTGACGACTTCTCATAGCCTCAGTCCTCAAGGGAATCCTCCCTAGTCATGGATGCCTCTTGCTTTCCATTTCACCCTAGTACTGGTGAAAGTATTGACTGACAAGAAAACAATTCCAGGAGGTTAAGAGACTTGTACCAGAACACACAACCCACACGTCTCTTCCAAAACGAAAATTCAGATTTCCTGCCTCATCCCTTTTCCTCTGTCCTCTGGAAGGCACTTTAGACTCTGGAAGAGCAAGTCCTTCAGATTCTACCCCCACAGCTCTGACCTTCTCAGTCTCCTGCCGACAACCTGCAGGATAGTAATCCTCCTGCTGGCTCTGCTTATCTGGCCAGTCTTTTTTCTGGCCCACCCCATTCCCCTCTCCACTCTAAAGCAGTTCTGGTCCCCCTTGCCTGCCTCACCGAGGGTGGTGAGAACATGTCTGAGCTCTGCTCCCATGACTTTGCCGTCCCCCTCCTTGTCAAACACACGAAGCCCCTCCAAGTAGTCCTCATATGTGCCTTGGTCCCGGTTCTTGGCCACTGCCTGGAGCATGGGCAGGAAAGTTTCAAAGTCCACACGCCGGGACTTCAGCTCTGGAGGTTGGAGAGAGATGAAGGAGAGGTCACTGTAGTATCACGTAGGACCCGGCTCCCAACCCTACCACAATGCTTTCATCCTGTTCAGCATTTAGGATATTTTCCTGCTTCTGTGTTTGACAGTTTTTGAAGTCCTGAGATCCACCTCATTCTTTGTTACCAACATTCAACTTCTGAAAACTAAAAACCCGAATTGTTCCAAGGGTCCCCTCACCATCACTCTTGGGGTTCCCCAGGACCTTGAGCACCTCGGCGTTGGTGGGGTTCTGGCCCAGGGCCCTCATCACGTCCCCACACTGGCTGTACAGGATCTTGCCATCCCCCACTCGGTCAAACAGCTCGAAGGCCTCCTTGAACTCTAAGGTATAAGGAAGGGTCAGTGTAGACACTGACTAGGGGTTCCCATCAGCCCCAGACAGAAGGGAATTTCAGAAACTATGTGAACAGAACAAGGGAGGAAAAGAGGACTAGTATGGGAGGTTTCAAGGTCGGGACTGGGGTTAGGGGAATAGAAAGAGAATCTGACCAGGGGATTGGGGACTGGACAGTGGGCTTAGACTAGCTTCTCCTCACCCTCCAGCTGGTCCTTGTTAAACTCGATCTGTGGAAGAAAAAAGCAGGTGGGGAGAGATGACAGTTTATTCAGTCTCTCTCCAGCACTCCTCCCAACCAACTGGCAGCCACTTCTGAGGAGGGGCCCAAAGGGACCAGGCTGGAAGCCCAGCCACCTCAGTCCCATTCCCAGCTCCGGGCCTTGGGAGAATCCCAAGAAGAGGAATTACAGTGGGGAGGGTTTCCTGGGAACAGGGTTAATCCCATGCCACCTGTTTCCCTCCCTCCATTGCCCTGAGCCCTGCATCCCGCACATAACTGGGGGCTGAACAAAGGCTAAATTTACCCCTGGCCCCCAGCTGTGATTGTCTAACAAGTCTGTCCTCTTCAGCCTCCCTTCCTGGAGTTCAGAGCTGCAGGCCTTTTGAGTTGAATCACCAGCCAGGGGCAGGCAACAGCTCTTTTCCCTTCACCTTGAAACTGTCCTCAGAACCCAGATGTTCCCCATCTAAGAGTCCCTGCCTCCAGCAGGGGGTAAGTGAGTGTGCATGTGCTGTACACACATGGTTATAGGTTAGAGGGAGAGAACAGCAAAGACAACAGCAGAGTCATAAGCCTGGATGCTTCCAAATGGGGGACTAAGGGAAAGCCCCAATTTCATTCCAGGCTTCACTGATTCCCTACCTTCTAGATACCCCCTAATCCCCTAGGCTGTATCTCACCCTCAAACCACCCCCTCCAATTATCTTCACTTTCCAGAGACTCACCACCACTTTGGAGAGATCAATTGGAGGCTCCTGGGTTTTCTGAGGGGCCTGGGGGACAGCTGGCTCAGCTTTGCTCTTGGCTGGAGGAGCCCCTGCTGCTGCTGCTGGCTTAGCAGCAGGTTTAGAGATGGAGGGTCCTGTTGGTTTCTTCACGGGAACATCCTTCTTGGGAGGCATGATGTCCGGTGGCCAAAGGACAGTGTGTGGATGGGGGCACCCATCTCTGTTTAAATAGCCAGGGAGTCTGGGATGTCAAGGGGCGGGGGCAGGGGCAGGGGCAGGAAGCCAGTTGGCTGTGGCGAGGATGAGGTAGAGGAGAGATATAACCGTCTGCCCTCACTCCCCTGGCCTCCTATGGTTCAGGACTCCTGCCCCAAGGTCTTCTTCCCTCTGTCCCCTCATCCCCAAAGGCTGTCCAGAAAAGAACAATGTTTCCTTTGGGGGTAGGGGAGGAAGCCAGGGACTGCCCAGAATGAGAGGTAGTTAACCTCCAGGGTGAGGATAGGATGCTTGCACTGAGATGGGGGTGGTGAGGCAAAGCAGGTGATCCAGCAGCTTTAGTCTTCTCGAAGGGTGGGGTGAGGGGTAGCAGTCAGGGAGGCTTGTGTGAACTGGAACAAGTTAAAGTGTGGTCTGGGAGCAATGACAAAAACAAGCAGCCCATCTGCCCAGCCCCTCCACTCCTTTCTGACCATGGCCTTGTAAAGAGCAGGGGTAGTTAACCCTACAGTCTAATAATCCCTAATACTTGTAGTTCCTGAGCCCGCACCCAGCCAAGAATTGAAACTATTCACAGTATAAAGGAAGAATAGTCATAGAAACAGGAGTGTGACATCCCTCATTGTCTCCTAGCGCGCAGCGTTGTTTTAGGGGAAGGAGTGGGGGCAAAGATCAGGTTTAACATCTGCTACCCATTCTTCCATGGAAGGAACCTTCTTCCACAAAACCACTGTCATTCAACACAAACAAAAGGTAGGGCGCTTGCTGAACCTGTGGGGACCCTGTGGTGGCACCTGAGAAGGGCGGGCTCTGGGAGATGGCTTAAATTCCCTAATCCAAGAGGATGTGGGCACTCCTATGGCCTCCATGAGTATTCATCCCACTACCAGGGGTATAATAAAAATCCCGACTCAGGGGCCAGGTCACAAACCTTGCCGGGGGCACTGGGAGAGAGTCCAAGTTGGGGGGCGTTTGGGAGTGGGGAGGGGTTGCGGCCTACTTTTGTTCTGGGGGAAATTAGGAAAGGATTTAGGTAGCAATCTGAGGAAGATAGCAGTGACTCCGCTTAGGCCCCGGGGTTGATGCTGGGTCTCCCATTCGCAAAACAGTGTCTGAATCTCATTACGGCAAACTGTCCCATTTTTACAAAATACATCACACACAGACACATACACACACACACTCACACACACCCCCCCTAAACCTTAAAGAAAGCGGCCCTCCTCAGCCCCCAAAAACTCACCCTGTGGGGTCCGCGTCTGTGGCTGGGGAGGGGGCGGTGTACAGCGCGGCCCCCCAGCCCTGAAGGGTTAATTCCGACGGCCGCGGAGCATGCCGGGAGTCGTAGTCCCCAGTGGGCTCACAGGATACGCCGCGCTCTAGATTGCAGCTGAGGCTAGGGCGGTGGCTTCCGGCCCATGGCGGCGTTTGGTGACTCAGTGTCCTTCCATGTCCCGGAACTGAAAGGCAATGAACAATTTCCAATCCACCCCAACCGTAAAACCCTGCAGGGTCCCTAGGGTATCCCTCCTACTTAGCCCTGGCGGTCTCCTAGTCTCGGGAGGCGGGGGGGGGGTGGTACGGGGGGGAGCGGGGCGCGGGGGGGAGCGGGGCAGATGTTTTCTTGGACCTACTGCTGAAAGAACTCCGAACCAGGGGAAAGGTTGAGGCTGCAGCAGGCAGCGTAGAGGTCAGATAGCTGGAAGCACTTACGGCCCCAGGGAGAGCGGCTGCGCTCTTTTTCGCTTCCTCTTGCGGTTTGGTAGGAAAAAAAGAGGCCCCAGAGTAGTTTCTTTTTAATGAACTGGTTGCTGAAGTAAATGTTAAAATTTGCAATTAAGCCCAGTCACCTGCCCCAGCCTTCTGATCGAGGTTTCCATCCTGCGGCGGCATATGCGCCATCCTCCCCGGTCTTCATAGGTTCCTGAGCGGAGGGCTGGGCTTTCCAGACCTACTTTCTGAGACACTTATGGTCAGCATTGGAGTTTACTGGTTCCCCTAGGCGTTGATCAGAGGATGGGAACCAGCCCGGCCGGGCCCACCTTCATTCACTGGATCAGTAAATACCCTGGCGGTGCACCTGGTGTTGGAGGCTGGGGCTACACGGGCGTGTGAGGATTCGGTCAGAGCAGAAAACTCGGGCGAGGGCAGGGTGGTGAGGCACAGGTGAACTTTATGGGCAGTAAGTAAGGTTCACTGGTTGGGGAAAGTTTATTGGAAAGGTAGAAATGAATTGTACGACAGAAATAACGATGATAGTAAGTTAGCAACCATTTCTGGAGGCCACCATAGATCTGGTACCGATGAAGGGGTTAAATTATCTCAGAGGGTGCTCAAGTGCATGGGGTTCAGACGAGCCTGCTCGTATTTGAATCCTGGTTCTACCAGGTGCTGGTTAGTGACCCTCAGCAGGTTTAGTTGTCTCTCCTGGGCCTCAGTTCCTCATCTGTAAAATAATGATAATGGTACCTACCTCATAGGGCTTTTAGGAGGATTCGAAGTGTTATTATTGGTAAAATAGGGCCGGGCTTGGTGGCTCACGCCTGTAGTCCCAGCACTTTGGGAGGCGAGGCAGGCTGGTCACCTGAGGTCAGGAGTTCGAGACCAGCCTGGCCAATATGGTGAAACCCTGTCACTACTAAAAATACAAAAAAAAAAAAAAATAGCCAGGCGTGGTGGCAGGCGCCTGTAACCTCAGCTACTTGGGAGGCTGAGGTAGGAGAATCACTTGAACCCGGGAGGTTGCAGTGAGCCGAGATTCCACCACTGCACTCCAGCTTGGGTGACAGAGTGAGACTCCATCTCAAAAAAACCAAAAAACAAAAAAAACCCCACAAAGTTTGTAAATTAGAATAGGCCTGGCACAGTGTAAGTGCTGTATAAGTGTTTGTTAAATAACTTCCCTTTAATCTTCCCAAGGTATGAGGTCGCTGATATTTTACCCATTTTTACATCAATGAAGTGAGGACCAGTAGGTGTTGTGAAGAGACGGAGAGGAAGAAGGAATACATTTTTAAGTGGTTATAAGATTGGGAAAGGGCCACATTATGGATGCCATTGTGTGGCTTCTATCACTCTTGCAGACATTGGTTTCAAAGATATGGCCCTTGTAATTTTTTCTTCTTTCCTTTTCCCACTTTTGGCATTTTGCCAAGTATGAGTGGTTATGGCATCAGCTGACTTTCTAGCATTTTCTTTTTTTTTTTTTTTTTTTTTTTTGAGGTGGAGTCCACTCTGAGGCCCAGGCTGGAGTGCACTGGCCAGATCTCAGCTCACTGCAAGCTCCGCCAACCGGGTTCACGCCATTCTCCTGCCTCAGCCTCTCAGCCTCCCGAGTAGCTGGGACTACAGGCGCCCGCCACCTCGCCCAGCTAGTTTTTTGTATTTTTTAGTAGAGACGGGGTTTCACCGTGTCAGCCAGGATGGTCTCGATCTCCTGACCTCGTGATCCACCCGTCTCGGCCTCCCAAAGTGCTGGGATTACAGGCTTGAGCCACCGCGCCCGGCCTCTTTTTTTTTCTTCTTTTTTTTTTGAGGCGGAGTCTCACTGTGGCCCAGGCTGGAGTGCAGTGGTGTGATCTCAGCTCACTGCAAGCTCCGCCTCCTGGGTTCACACCATTCTCCTGCCTCAGCCTCCCCAGTAGCTGGGACTACAGGTGCCCGCCAACACGCCGGGCTAATTTTTTTGATATATTTTTAGTAGAGACAGGGTTTCACTGTGTTAGCCAGGATGGCCTCGATCTCCTGACCTCGTGATCCGCCCGCGTCGGCCTCCCAAAGTGCTGGGATTACAGGTGTGAGCCACCACGCCCGGTGACTTTCTAGCATTTTCTATAGAGAAGTAGTACAGGGAAAAAACATTAAGACCCTTGGAGAGATTGGAAGGCTATCCTTCATTTTCTGTGCCATCCCTGTCTTGATCATAAATAACATAAACTGGACTAAACGTGGTCTTAACTGGGCATAGGGTGATTATATATGTGAATTATCTGTGAGAAATGCCTGTCTCTCCTATCTTCCTTCCCCACTTAGCATGTGATTTGTATATTCTTATTTTTCTTTGATTTTGTTTTTTTCTAGAAATGAGGTCTCACTGTGTTACCCAGTCTCAAACTCCTGAGCTTAAAGGATCTTCCCATCTCAGGTGCCTCCCAAAGTGCTGGGATTATAGGCATGACCTACCTCGACTAGCCTGTATATTCTTAGAGATTGCATTTTGTGGGCAGGGAGGGAGGTGAGTCTGGAGCTTCCTTGCCTTCCCTAGGCATGCCATCCTCCAGGAACCTCCACATGTTCAGCTCTCCAAAGTGGCCTGTTAGATTGAAAGAATATGGAAAGCCATTGGGGAGCTGTTCCGCAGTGCACAGGTCTATGCACACTTACCCCCAAAGTCCAAGGAAGCTAAGAGGTTAAGGAAGGAGGCTGACAAATCCACTTTCTTTCTTTCTTTTTTTTTTTTTTGAGACAGAGTCTTGCTCTGTCGCCCAGGCTAGAGTGCAGTGGCCAGATCTCAGCTCACTGCAAGCTCCGCCTCCCAGGTTTACATCATTCTCCTGCCTCAGCCTCCCGAGTAGCTGGGACTACAGGCGCCCGCCACCTCACCTGGCTAGTGTTTTGTATTTTTTTAGTAGAGACGGGGTTTCACCGTGTTAGCCAGGATGGTCTTGATCTCCTGATCTTGTGATCCACCTGTCTTGGCCTCCCAAAGTGCTGGGATTACAGGCTTGAGCCACCGTGCCCAGCCCAAATCCACTTTCTTAGAAATATTTAATAGGAATTTATGAACAGAAGCCATGTCTGTGCTTGGGTAGTGGTGAGACATGATGGTGGGTCCCCAGGACATTATCCCCTGGGGTAAGTCCTGACCCAGGACTTACCACAGGGAAGGAACCTGGAGGACAATTGAAGTCTACCCTGCGGGGAAAGGCAAGAATACTCAGTAAGGGCAGGGTTTATGATCAAGATTGTTTTTTGTTTGTTTGTTTTTTGAGATGGAGTCTCACTCTGTCGCCCAGGCTGGGGTGCAGTGGCCGGATCTCAGCTCACTGCAAGCTCCACCTCCTGGGTTTACACCATTCTCCTGCCTCAGCCTCCCAAGTAGCTGGGACTACAGGCGCCCGCCACCTCGCCCGGCTAGTTTTTTTGTATTTTTTAGTAGAGACGGGGTTTCACCGTGTTAACCAGGATGGTCTCCATCTCCTGACCTCGCGATCCGCCCGTCTCGACCTCCCAAAGTGCTGGGATTACAGGCTTGAGCCACTGCGCCCGGCCAAAAAAAATTTTTTTTAAAGCAGGCCGGGCACAGTGGCTCATTCCTGTAATCCCAACACTTTGGGAGGCCAAGGAAGGTGGATCATCTGAGGTCAGGAGTTTGAGACCAGTGTGACCAACATGGTGAAACCCTGTCTCTACTAAAAATACAAAAATTAGCCCAGCATGGTGACAGGCACCTGTAATCTCAGCTACTTGGGAGGCTGAGGCATGAGAATCCCAGGAGGTGGAGGTTGCAGTGAACCGAGATTGTGTCACAGCACTCCAGCCTGGGCAACAGAGGGTGACTCCATCTAAAAAAAGAAAAAAGAATGGCCAAGCGCAGTGGCTCATGCCTGTAATCCCAGCACTTTGGGAGGCCAAGGCAGGTAGATCATCTGAGGTCAGGAATTGGAGACCAGCCTGACCAACATGGAGAAACCCCGTCTCTACTAAAAATACAAAATTAGCCAGGCGTGATGGTGCATGTCTGTTATCCCACCACCTCAGGAAGGCTGAGGCAGGAGAATCGCTTGAACCTGGGAGGTGGAAGTTGCAGTGAGCCTCGATCACACCATTGCACTCCAGCCTGGGCAATGAGCGAAATTCTGTACCCCCCTCAAAAAGAAAAAAAAAAGGTGGAATGGGTGGGAAGTGTTATATGGAAAAGGCTCCCAGAGAGCACAGTGGAAAAGGTTGAGAGGAAGAGAAGCAGAAGGAGATTATATTAGGGCCCTTTAGCTGCTCTCTTCAAGCGCGTTTATTCAGTATACATTCTTTTTTGTGTTTTGTCTGGGAGACAAGAGTCTTCCTGTGTCCTCCAGGCTGGAGTGCAGTGGTGCATCTCAGCTCACTGCAACCTCCACCTCACCTCCTGGGTTCAAGTGATTCTCATGCCTCAGCCTCCCAAGTAGCTGGGATTACAGGTGTGTGCCACCACACCTGGCTAATTTTTTTTTCTTGTATTGTTAGTAGGGATAAGGTTTTGCCATATTGGCCAGGCTGGTCTCAAACTCCTGACCTCAGGTGATCCACCTTCCTTGGCCTCCTAAAGTGTTGGGATTACAGGCGTGAGCCATTGTGCCCAGCCTTTGTATACATTTCCTTTCCTTTCCCCCCCAGAAACAGGGGCTTGCTCTGTTGACCAGGCTCTGGATACAGTGGCACAATCATAGCTCACTGCAACCTCAGATTCGTGGGCCACCATCCCTGGCTATTTATTATATTTAGTTGTTATAGTTTTTTTTTTTTTTTTTTTTGGAAAAAAACCCCTCTCTTTTCACCCAGGCTGGAGTGCAGTGGTGCAATCCCAGCACCATCACGCCAGGCTAATTTTTTTTTTTTTTTTTGAGATGGAGTTTTGCTCTGTCGCCCATACTGGAGTGCAGTGGCGCAATCTTGGCTCACTGCAACCTCTGCCTCCTGAGTTGAAGCAATTCTCCTTCCTCAGCCTCCCGAGTAGCTGGGATTACAGGCATGCACCACCATGCCCAGCCAATTTTTTTTTTTTTTTGTATTTTTAGTAGAGACTGGGTTTCACCATATTGGCCAGGCTGGTCTCGATCTCCTGACTTTGTGATCCTCCCGCCTCGGCCTCCCAAAGTGTTGGGATTACAGGCATGAGCCACTTTGCCTGGCCTAATTTTTTTGTATTTTTAATAGAGACGGGGTTTTGCCATGTTGGTCAGGCTCCTGAGCTCAGGTGATCACCAGCCTCGGCCTCCCAAAGTGCTGGGATTACCCTGTCTCTACTAAAAATACAAAAATTAGCCGGGCATGGTGGCAGGTGCCTGTAATCCTAGCTACTCAGGAGGGTGAGGCAGGAAAATTGTTTGAACCCAGGAGGTGGAGGTTGCTGCAAGTCGAGACCACGCCATTGCATTCCAGTCTATGTGAGAAGAGAGAAACTCTCTCAGAAAAAAAAAAAAAAAAAGGCTGCTGCAGTTCCAGACATAGTATCCTCATACCAATGACCTACGCAGAAAGGAAGGGGCAATGAGGCTTTCTTCTTTAGATGCTACAATCCCCAACTGACTTCCTCTAACATCTTGTTAGATGTTAGAAACGACTGGGTCAGGGTCATTTCAAGTTGCAAGGGAAAGTGATTATTCAGCAAAGGGTATCTCATTAATTTTTGGGGCTGGCATACTGCCACCAGGGACATTCTGGGATTCTGTATGTAGGGAAGAGGGGAAATGGCTGTTGGGTAGACAACTGTGTTGCCACACCTAGTTAACTACAGCATGTCATTTGGTCCAATAAAAACACATTCCAAGAGGATAGTATTTGCAAACATCAGTGATCACATAACCATATACAGTCATATCTTTCTCTGGAAAAGGTATGCATTGTGTATGTGTGTCAAAAGTCAGCTGTTTGAGAAATGACAGAAGTATATTTAATTCATGTGATTAATGACCCTTAAAATGTGTTCCATCTTCATATATAAAAGTGCAATTGTGTTTTGTGTCTCATCTTGTATGTATTTTTTTTTTTTTGTTATCTGGTTGTCATCATCTTGCTTTTTTTTTCTTTCTTTTTTTTGGAGACAAGGTCTCACTCTGTCACCCAGGGCAGAGTAGAGTGGCACGAGCCTAGCTCACTATGACCTTGAACTCCTGGGCTCAAGCGATCCTCCTGCCTCAGACTCCTGAATAGCTGGGACTACAGGTGTATACCACCAAGACTGGCTAATGATTTCTAAGGGTGGGGGTTTTCTCTGGATCCTCTGCCTCGGCCGGCCTCCCCAAGTGTTGGCATTACAGGCATGAGCCATCACACTTAGCCATCATCTTGTATTTAATATGTAGACTAGTACCTCTTCCCTTATATATATATATTGAACTCAAAAAGGTTAGGAAAGAGTAGGGACCCTTCTGGGATGGGAGAATTTGTGCCATGTCCTCTAGTTTTCTGGAAATGTAATTACTTGAAGTGATAAATTAGCTCAAGAATGTTTCTTAAAATCACACATTGCAAAATCCTAGGTTGTATTATCTGAAGCCAGCTAGAACAGCAGGCCTTGGGCTGCATGCCCAGTTAGTATCTAGAATTTTTTTTTTTTTTTTGAGACGGAGTCTTGCTCTGTTGCCCAGGCTGGAGTGCAGTGGCGCCATCTCGGCTCGCTGCAAGCTCCACTTCCTGGGTTCATGCCATTCTCCTGCCTCAGCTTCCCAAGTAGCTGGGACTACAGGCGCCCACCACCACGCCCGGCTAAGTTTTTGTCTTTTTAGTAGAGACGGGGTTTCACTGTGTTAGCCAGGATGGTCTCAATCTTCTGACCTCGTGATCTGCCCGCCTCAGCCTCCCAAAGTGCTGGGATTACAGGCATGAGCCACTGCACCCGGCCAGTATCTAGAAATTTGACAAGAGACCTTAAAAATTAAGTTTCTCTGCTCTGTTTTTGGAGTTTTTCCCCCTATGATTCTAGAGCTGGAGTTGGGGAATGGAGCAAATAAGACCTTCTTGCTCATAGCCAAGGCCTGGGGTCCTCTTACGTTGATGGGAATGAAGTGGAGATGGCAGAGGAACCAGCAGTGAATACAAAAGGGTCACTGAAAACATAGAGGTTGAGTTTGTGGACGATGTGGAGTTTAAATTCAGTTTTTGCTAATTAAGCAAATTTTGACAACTTGTGGAACTGAGCTTAATCCTTTCCCCTGAGTCTTCCCTCATCTCCCAGTGGGCAGCATCCTGAAGTTTATATTTTTTAAGAGAAGATGGTAGTCTCCCTGAGGCAGTTATGAAATCCCCACGTTCCTATGCCAGTGACCCTGTCTTCAGTAGTTCACTCTGTCCATCTCTCCTTTAAATTGGCAGAACAGATGGAGCACAGCTTCTCTAGCTTGCATTCCAGTTAAGTTCCTGCAAGGAGCAGAGTTCAAAGTGAACAGATGATGGAAATGGGTGTATTTCTCAGCTCCTGTCAGATGGGCCTGAAGCCCTTTTGAATGTACCTGAGCACGCCCTGATGGCACGGAGACACCAGGAGCCTGGGCAGTGGCACAGAGCTCCCAGGTTTACCAGGTTTAGGAATCCCTTCCCTAGAAAGCCCATAGTGGTCAGCAGACAAGTTGGATGGGTAACAGATTTCATCACTGTGACTGGGAATGAGTCTCACCTGAAATGCAACAGCAGCTACTTTACACAGGTCTCGTGACCATCCTCAATATTCTTGGTGGCTGCCACCTTAGTAGGCTTTGACCACTAATTAAACTGACACGATTCACGAATTGGATAAAGGCTTTTAACAGTTGGAATAAACATCAGATGGGTAGATTGATTCCCTATCCTTAAGGAAAAGAACCACAGCTGGCTTAAGTATGATGTTTAATGTAAGATACAGTGGCTTGGCAGAGTTGGTGCAAAACTAAAGAGTACCAGATTCAGTTCTAGTCAGTGAGTTACCAGCCTAGGCACTTGGGCAAAAAATTGGCCCAGCTGTCCCAAGTCCTCCAAAGCCCTCTGTGTATCACCAGCTAGGAGCCCCAAAGCTGATACGCCACTACTTGGAGGCTTGGGTAGAATCCAAGTGTCCCCAGCTTCCAAAGTGACGAGAGACTGGCCCCAGCCATCAGAGCAGTAGAATTTTCAGGACAGGGTTGAGAAGAGTGGGGACAGAACTGGACATGGGGGCCTGAGCTGCTGAACATTTGCTACATGCAGTAGTCTAAGAGACTCACAGCTGGAGAGGTTAGCCTGTCCACCTTCCCGCCCATGTGTGGTAGGGAAGAAGGTGACCATCTAGTTAAAGAAACAAAGATCCTTTCAAAGCTGTATTTGGCATAAGCTAATACCACTGCTAGTGCTGCCAGTGGCCAGGCACAGATACTGGAGGCCCTGAGGAGTTGGGAGGAAGGGAGAACAATGTGCAGGCAGAGCAGGAAACAGCCAGCTCAGGTCCCCACCCCAGGGGCCCAGAAGGATAAAGGCCGTGCAGTAAAGGGAACATACGGTTCTTCTCTTTGGTCAAAGGCCCGAATATGGGCCTGTTAGGTGAAAGGGCTGAAGGGCACAGGCTCTGCCCTTGGACCCTAGCTTTAGGCTCATCACATTGAGGTGGTGACAGAGCGAGATGAAGGCAGGAAGACAGAGCAGAGTCAGGCTGGGACTCGCCAGCTCCTAGGAGCTGCTCTTGTCCTTGTCGTCCATCAGGTCATACCTGTGAAAATGAGAGGGCTCATGTAGAAAGATGACTCTTGTGTCGTCTTATTTATAAATGAGACACAATCCAAGGGCTTCTCTACTTCATAGAATCAATGGTTCTCTGCTCAGATTGTATCGTTTTTTCCTTTCCTATGATTGGAATTTCTCCCACTGAAATATCCAGACCACCCCCACCCACGCAGACACTCACCACCGGGCTACACCCTGGGAAAGGTCTGTCTCAGCTAGGTCCAGCTGCACCTGTGTTGGAGGATGGTGGGGGAAAGATGTGATTGTTTTATTTTTTGAGACAGGATCTCATTCTGATGATGCCGTTTTGAAATCTCCAAAGACCTTACTCCTTCATCACATACTCGTCGCAAACCATTGCAGAGGTGACAGTCACCTCTAAAGGATCACCTGGAGTACTTCCTTCCTCAGAGGGACTATAAACTTGGTACCAGCAGCTTCCAGCCCTCACCTCTGCCCTGCCATCCTGCCCTCTTACCTTCCCCAGCAGCTCACGCTCTCTTGACATGAAGGAGGAGTTAGACTTGACAGAGACATCCAGCTTTCGTCTCAGGGCCTCATCCAGGGGGAGTTCCCACTCAAACCTGGGGTAGGACTGGGTGTTAGGGGCCAGGAGTCCTTTCCAAGGCTGCCATCCCTCCACCTGAATGCCCACTGACTGACCGTTCATTAAATTCAGGACTCAGGGTCCTCTTCTTCTGTGAGGTCTTCCTCTTGGTGCCTCGGTTCTTGTCTGGCAGCAGCAACAGTGACACATAGGGATCAGGAGGATCGCGTCCATTCTGTCGAAGGGCCCTACAACAGGAGGATGTAGGTGATATGGTAACCTGAGGGAAGGGATGGAGGCGACCTGGAGGACGGGAGGGAAGGGATGGGGTCTCACCGGCAACCATGAACAATGCTGACCAGCTTTCGTTCTTCACTGTAGTACCACACAGTCAGTTTCACCTGGCCCAGAGGCCCGGCTGGAGCTTCAAGGGGACTGTGGAGAAATATCAGTAGGTCTGGGAAACACTAGAGCCTAGTGAACCTGTAATACTTTTTATTTCTGACTGCATCCCACCTTCCTGTACCAGCCCTTTACCTGTCAACATGTGTGAGGCGCTGCCGGAGCTCTGGGGCTGAGGAGGTGATATGAGGGGATCCCCCCCAGAGCTCTGGTTCTTCACTCAGGGATGAGGAGCTGTGGCTGTAGCTGTGGCTATGAGCTTCCACTCCTGAGTGCTGGGACACCAGGATCTAGGGGCAAGAAAGCTGTGAGCTAGGCAGAGTTCTCTCAGTTCCCTCAGTCTAAGGACACAGCCCTCTGTTCCCACCCTCCTGGGTGTCCCTCAGCTGTGAAGGCCCTCCCCTCCTCCCTCTCATCCTGCCCACCATCTCCTGTCACTCACCCCTAGCTGTGCTCTCAGTAGCACCTGCCCCTGACCACTGCTAAGTGTAAACCAGCGGTCCAAGCAGAGCTGGTCAGCCACGAGGAGCTCTGAGAGGGGCAGGGATAATGAGCCCAGCAGGCCAGCGCCCTCACCCCGAACCTGTGGGGCAACAGGACCATGATCAGGAGGCGAATGCATCCACAAATGAGTTAATCCTGGTGGTAAAGGTCCAAACGCTTGCACTCATAGGTGGTTTGGTGAGGTTGCCCTTTGAGAAAGGCAGGGAAGCCATGGTAACAGTTGCTAGTCCCTCTGTCCTTCCTTCCTGTTTTTTTTTTTTTTTTTTTTTTTTGAGACGGAGTTTTGCTCTTGTTGTCCAGGATGGAGTGCAGTGGCACCATCTGGTCTCACCACAACCTCTGCCTCCCGGGTTCAAACGATTCTCCTGCCTCAGTCTCCTGAGTAGCTGGGATTACAGGCACCTGCCACCATGCCCAGTCGATTTTTTATTTTTAGTAGAGCTGAGGTTTCTCCATGTTGGTCAGGCTGGTCTCAAACTCGTGACCTCAGGTGATCCACCCACCTCGGCCTCCCAAAGTGCTAGGATTACAGGTGTGAGCCACTGTGCCTGGCCTGTCCTTCCTTTCTTAACCAGAGTAGAGTGGACCATCTTTACCTTATAAGCTTTCAGAAAGTATACTAGTAATACCTGCAGAGTACAGAAAACAACAGTAAAAAGAGAACTAAATGTTTCCTGCCCATCCTACTCCCATTGCCATATTCCAAATGTAACAACCTTTAAAACTGTCCTGTTTTCTTTGTTCTCACAGAATTCTAATGTGCTTGTAGTATCTATTGATTCCCTGCTATAAAAGGTGAAGAATTGAGCCCACTTGTACTTCCTTTCTACTCTGCTAGCATTAAGTTACGTTATTTTAAATTCTACTAATTTCGGTCGGGCATGGTGGCCCACACCTGTAAGATGGCTCATGGCCATCTTTTGTCTCCTTCTCACCCTCCACACTGCCTAAGAGATCTCACCCATGACTGCCCTTGCGAGTGGTTGCTTGCTCATGATGTTCCAGTAAGAGGGCAAAGGAGGAACACCTCATGGGCAATAGATTTGTTTTCTGCATCTCTTTCCTCGATGTCCTGCAGAGATCTCAAATTCAAAAATTCCCTCTCTGTGCACTCCCTAAGTCAGCAACAGCACCCTTATCCATCCAGTCACCCTGTGCCAAAAACCCCAGAGTCTAGGCTGCTCTTTGCTCCTCCACCTGCTCCATATCACAGCAATCTTCCAATCCCATCAGGCCTTAGTCGCTTCTTGCTTTGACTGCTCTAACAGTCTCCTCACTGATCTCCCTGCCCCCAGTGTTGTCCCTCTCCAGTCCATTCTTTACCCTTTTATCCCCATGATCTTCCCAGAATGCAAATCTGGATAGTGACCTCTCATTAAAGGCTTGCCTGGCTGGGTGCGGTGGCTCACGCCTGTAATTCCAGCACTCTGGGAGGCCGAGGCGGTGGATCACCTGAGGTCAGGATTTAGAGACCAGCCTGACCAACATGGAGAAACCCTGTCTCTATTAAAAATACAAAAATTAGCTGGGTGTGGTGGTGAGTACCTATAATCCCATCTACTCGGGAGACTGAGGCAGGAGAATCGATTAAACCGAGGAGGTGGAGGTTGCAGTGAGCCAAGGCCGTATCACTGTACTCCAGCCTGGGCAACAGAGCAAGACTCCATCTCAAAAAAATAATAAATAAAATAAAGGCTTCTCTAAGCCTTAGGATAAAATCCATATTTCTAGCATATTATTCAACAGCCCCTCTGATCTTGCTCTACCTGCCTCTCTGATCTATAATAAATATGCCTTCTCTCTCCTCCATTTTTTTCTCAGCCTAACGAGTTTTCCTGCTCTTCTTTCCTTGGTCCGAAAGAACTGGTAAATCTACCCTTACGCTGGGGCACGGTTCTCATGCTTGTAATCCCAGCACTTTATATGCTGAGGTGGGCAGAATGCTTGAGTCCAGGAGTTCGAGACCAGGCTGGACAACATGGCAAAACCTCATCTCCACAAAAAAATACAAAAATTAGCTGGGTGTGGTAGTGTGCACCTGTTATCCCAGCTGAGGGGGGAGGATTGCTAGAGCCCAGGAGTTGAGGCTGTAGTGAGCCCTGATTGCACCACTGCACTCCAGCCTGGGCTACAGAGTAACACCCTGTCTAAAAAAAAAAAAAAAAAAAGGCCAGGTGCAGTGGCTCACACCTGTAATCCCAGCACTTGGGGAGGCTGACGTGGATGGATAACCTGAGGTCAGGAGTTCGAGACCAGCCTGGCCAACATGGCGAAACCCTGTCTCTACTAAAAATTGGCTGGGCGTGGTGGCATGTGCATGTAATCCCAGCTACGCGGGTGGCTGAATCAGGAGAACCTGAACCACTTGAACCTGGGAGGCGGAGGTTGCAGCGAGCTGAGATGGCACCATTGCACTCTAGCCTGGGCAACAACAGCGAGACTCTAGTCTCAAAAAAAAAAAAAAAAATCTACCCTCAAGCTCAGGGTCATCTAAAGATGCCTTTCTATCTCCAGCTTTTCCCCAGCCTGAACCCTTCCTTTCTTCCCCACAGTCCCTTTTACCTCAGTTATCATTCTGGAAGTTTTATCTGGTTATTTTTCTCCCAAAACAGTGTGAGCTCCATAAAGATAAGAAGTCAGACTTTTGGCTGGGTGCGGTGGCTCACACCTGTATTCAAAGCACTTTGGGAGGCCGAGGTGGGCGGATCACCTGAGGTCAGGAGTTCGAGACCATCCTGGCTAACATGATGAAACTCCATCTCTACTAAAAAAAAAATGCAAAAATTAGCCAGGTGTGGTGGCGGGCGCCTGTAGTCCCAGCTAGTAGGGAGGCTGAGGCAGGAGAATGGTGTGAACCCAGGAGGCGGAGCTTGCAGTGAGCCAAGACAGCGCCACTGCACTCCAGCCTGGGTGACACAGCAAGACTCTGTCTCAAAAAAAAAACAAATAAAAACCAGTCAATCTTTTATCTCATTTCTGAATGCTCTGTGCCTGGTTTACTGCCTGGCCATGGCAGAAATCTGCTAAATATTTGAAGAATGAATTTACAGTACCTGCAACTCCAGGCTCTCAGTGTGTGGTTTCCTGATGAGAAAGGAGGCACTCTCATCCCAGACAGGGGCTGAAGTTTGTGAAACAGTCTGGTGGAGATGAGGGCTTACTATCAGCGGCTGATACTCTTATTCCTCTTGTCCCTCCCATTTTTACCCTGCAGCATTTCTTCATACCTTGGTTTTATGAGAAGTATCTCCCACAGTGAGAGTAGCATAAGGGTTGGGGGGCTTGGTGCCTTTTCGCAGCTAGAAAGAGAATACTGTGTTAGTCTTAAATTTGGACCTAGTTAGGCAGATCGCCCTCACAAATTATATCCACAGCCAGCAGCCATGTCTCCATTATTACTTGGCAGCCACTACCCCATGGCCTCGAACAGACAATTTTTCCCACCTGTGCACCACCCTCAGAAAGAGAGGGGCCATTTTTCCTATTCCAAATACTCCAGGAGCATCCAAACCAGAGGGAGGTGGAAGAAGGGCCAGGAAGTTATGGGGCGTGGGGAGTGGGATCTCACCGGCAGGTCCTCTGCCCGCTCCATATAGACGGATAGCAGGGCCGCGGCCAGCTCCGCACTCTTCTGAGTCTGGATCAAACTATTCACCTGCAGCACCTGTTGGGGGGCACACGGGGCTGGGGAGTGGTAACTGACACCTTGGGTTCTGGCATGTGGCCTGAACACTAAGAGAAGAACTCATCCTGCCCCATCTTGGGTCTCTTCCTTCCTCCAGTCTCCTGCCCTACCTCCTCTAACTCAGCAGCAGTGGGACGGGGGGTGAGACGCTCCAGGCGCAAGTGCAGGCGGCCAGATAGGACATCCTCCAGGGTCAGCCACTGTGGAAGTAGGCAGGGTGAAGACTTGGGGATATGCAGACAGGAGAACTATGAGAATGAGGCAAGGGCAGGATCAGGAGGGGTTGTTGACTCTAATTCCATGCTCACCTCATCAAGGAAGCCACTGTTTAAGACTGTGGTGAGACTCACTTTACACCTGTGGAAGAGAAAGATTAAGACAAAAGCTAGATGGTGAGAACCAAGGAGGCCAGATCCATGGCCTAAAGAGCCCCAGCCTGTTTTTCACCTAGACTCCTATGCTCTCACCTGCCCAGAAAATCATCCTTGTCCAAGTCCTTATCAAAGACTTCAACCTCTAGCTCTTGGCCTGGAACTGATGTAACAATCACCTAGTGGGAGACAATAGTGCAGATGAAAGAGGATTCTCTCCTTTTCTTCTGCAAATGACCAGACCCCCCAGTCAACTAAACCTCAGAGGTTTCTGGACCACTTTTGGGATTGGGGAAAAATGGGGCAGAACCAGGAGTCACAGCCATTCAATTCTGACCTCAAAAACCTCATTCCAGCGGGGATTGAGATCTTCCCGAACAACATGGCTCCGGAAGCTTCGTCCTGCCAGCTTTAGTTTGACATAGGGGTCTGACTTGCCCTTCACCAGTCCCCCCAAGAAACGGTCTTTGGCAATCAGGTCCTGGGCCTCTAATACATGGATCCGAAGCACATCCTGCAAAAGGGACAGGGCAGCACCAGATGGCAAAGGAAGAGAGACCTGTCAGAATCTGCCCTGAAACAGGCTTTACACACTAAGCAGGGCAAACAGACCCTAGTCCTTTCCAGATATAGACTCACCTCAGTCCCAAACTGGCTATCAGGAGTAGTGTGACAGGGTCGAGGTGGGGCATCCACACTGCTGCCTCTCTGGGGACTCTCACTGTCCACGTCCCAAGCACCAGGACTACCAGGCACAGTGGGGAAGCATATTTCTGATGAATCCAAGTACAGGATCTGGGAAGGGTAGTGTGATGTCAAATCAAAGAAGTGCAGCTCGCCACCAGCAGGCAAGACATGTGGGGTGGGGTAGAGGAGGGGCTGTGACAGGGGAACTAGGTGCTGCCTTGGCTGGGCTCATCTCTAGAGGCTTCCCTCCACACCCCTTCAACTCATAAGCCATTCCTTCCACCAGTCAGATCAATATGTTTTTGTGCCTGCTTGGCACTTCTACATGTATTAGCTCATTTAATCTTAGGAGGCTCCCTTTGCTTACTCTTAATACCAAAGAATGAACAGGCCTTTCCCCCACACCTCAGTACCTCCTCCGTTTCCATACCCTCATGACTAGTTTAATGTAGAGTCTGGAGTTTGGGCCAGAGCTGCTAAGCTGGAACCACTGGTCCAGGGTGAGTTCTGGGGCAGTCAGCAGGCGGGCCAGAGGCAGTGTCAGTGCTCCTAAAGTCAGGGCCCTGGAATCATCCTTCACCTACAGGAACAGGAGGAAGGACTATAGTGAAGGGATTAGGGGAAAGGACGGCATCCTGTGAAAATGATAACATGGCTCCAGCTTCATTCCTCTCTGGACCAATCACAAACCTCCTGCTCCACTCAGGGCCACCTTTTTTTATTTTTTTATTTTTTTGAGACAGAGTCTCAAAAAAACCTGGAGTGCAATGGCGCCATCTTGGTTCACTGCAACTTCGACCTCCTGGGTTCAACCCATTCTTCTACCTCAGCCTCCCAAATAGCTGGGACTACAGGCAGGCGCATGCTGTCATGCCCGGCTAAGTTTTCGTATTTTTTAGTAGAGATGGGGTTTCATCGTCTTGCCCAGGCGGGTCTCAAACTCCTGAGTTCAGGCAATCCGCCCACCTCGGCCAGTCATCTTTTATAGTACTCTGCCCAATCCGTGGCCTCTTCCACCTTTGTTCATTCTGCTCCCACTATTTGGAAAGTCCTCATTCTCTTCCCTCTGCCTATTTAAATCCTACTCATCCTTCAAAACTCAATTAAAATCCTACTTCTTGCTTCACAAAATCTCCCTAGTTATTCCAGCCTGTCCCTTTCTCTGACCCTCCTTAGTCCTATACAAATTCGTATGTAACTGTTATTCTTCTGTTCTGTTTTTTTTTTTTTTTTGAGACAGAGTTTTGCTCTGTCACCCAGGCTGGAGTGCAGTGGCATGAAATCGGCTCACTACAACTTCCACTTCCCGGGTTCAAATGATTCTCCTGCCTCAGCCTCCCAAGTAGCTGGGATTACAGGTGTGCGCCACCATGCCCGGCTAATTTTTGTATTTTTAGTACAGATGGCATTTCACCATGCTGATCAGGCTGGTCTCAAACTCCTGACCTCAGGTGATCCGCCTGCCTTGGCCTCCCAAAGTGCTGGGATTACAGGCATGAGCCACCGCACCTGGCCTTGGTTCATATGTACTTGTTGAATGATTTTATATATGTGTCTCCTCTATGAAACTGGCCAGTAAGCATTGTGAAGGCAGACACTACGTTTTGTGCTTTTTCTATGACCTTTAAAATGCTGAATGTTGGGCCAGGCATGGTGGCTCACGCCTGTAATCCAAGCACTTTGGGAGGTTGAGGCGGGTGGATCACCTGAGGTTGGGAGTTCGAGACCAGTCTGACCAACATGGAGAAACCCCGTCTCTACTAAAAACACACACAAAAATGAGCCAGGCGTGGTGGCACATCCCTGTAATCCCAGCTACTCCGGAGGCTGAGGCAGGAGAATCACTTGAACCCAGAAGGTGGGGATTGCGGTGAGCCGAGATCGCGCCATTGTACTCCAGCCTGGGCAACAAGAGCGAAACTCTGTCTCAAAAAAAAAAAAAAAAAATGCTGACTGTTAGCGGTTTTATTGAGGCATAATTTACATACCATAAAATCACTCATTTTAGGTACCGCGCCCAGTCTTAGAATAATTTTTTTTTTTTTTTTTTGAGACGGGGTCTTGCTCTGTCACCCAGGCTGCACAGTGCAGTGGCGCAATCTCTGCTCACTGCAAGCTCCGCCTCCCGGGTTCACGCCGTTCTCCTGCCTCAGCCTCCTGAGTAGCTGGGACTACAGGCACCCGCCACCACGCCCGGCTAATTTTTTGTATTTTTAGTAGAGATGGGGTTTCACCGTGTTAACCAGGATAGTCTCGATCTCCGGACCTCATGATCCACCTGCCTTGGCCTCCCAAAGTGCTGGGATTACAGGCATGAACCACTGCGCCCGGCCAGAATAATTTTTTATAATTGGGAATTATATACCTAAAATGAGTGATTGTATGGTATATAAATTATGCCTCAGTAAAATTGTTAACATTCAGAATTTTAAAGGTCATAGAAAAAGCACAAAACATAGTATCTGCTTTCACAATGCTTACTGGCCAGTTTCATAGACAAGACACACATATATAAAATCATTCAAGAACTAGTACATACGAACTAAGGCCAGGTGCGGTGGCTTATGCCTATAATCCCAGCACTTTGGGAGGCTGAGGCAGGCAGATCACCTGAGGTCAGGAGTTCGAGAGCAGCCTGGCCAACATGGTGAAATCCCATCTCTACTAAAAATACAAAAATTAGCCGGGCGTGGTGGTGCGTGCCTGTAATCCCAGCTACTCGGGAGGCTGAGGCAGGAGAATTTCTTGAACCCGGGAGGTGGAGGTTGCAGTGAGCTGAGATCGCACCGTCGCACTCCAGCCTGGGCAACAGAGCGAGACAGCATCTCAAAAAAAAAAAAAAAAGTATTCTGAGCAACAGTTGGGGAACAGTGGAGAGATATTCAGGGAGGTGGGGAGTCTAGGTAGATGGATTAAAAATCGGAATGAAGGGAAAAGAAGGAGAGGAGAAATGGTACTCATCTGGATAGACACAATAGGGTATTCGAGAGGGGATGAAGAGGTGATTATCTCACTTGCACATCGAGCTCTTGGCTTTGAGGGTCTTGTAGGAAGAACCGGAATGCTTCCTCCCACACTGGGCAGTTGGTACTGTAGACAGCCTGGAGATGTGGAGGAGGGATGAAGGGTGTATACCACAGCACCACTCCTGTTTCTCCAGAAAACCTCTGCACATAACAGGCATTCTAAAGGGGAAACCATTCCAAGAACAGGCCTGTCCCTGTCCCACCTGGCCCCCGACAATGATGTCCTGGCCCTCACCTTGCTCTCCTGAGTCACATCCTGAATTGACAGTTGTACCATGGGGTTGGGTTCCTTGTTCCCCTTCTTCAGCTGTGGTGGGTACAATTCAGAGGTTACCATCTTGGGGGATTTGGTTTTGGTTTTGGTGAAGGAAGGTGGGATCGCATCAGAATCCTTTCCCTGAGATGGATCTGATCCCCTCCCTGGGACCCTTGTGTTACATGCTGATACTTCTGGAGCAAAGCAGGCAGTGACAACTGCATCCTCAGCAAGGCAGGGTTGGGGAATGCTACATCCAGGGCTCCTGTTCACCCAGCCAAACTCACAGGAAGATCCTGGGCCCGATCCAGGTAGACAACTAAGATGGCAGCTGATGGGGGCTCTGGTCGAGAGGAGACTCCCCGATTCCACTGTAGAACCTGGGAAGGGGTAGTAGTAGTCAGATCTTGGTCCCCGTTCCAAGTCCCCTACATTTCCAGCTACCTACTTCTCCCCTGCCAGCTTCCTGTTTCCCATGTGGTGTACCTGCTCCAGTTTCTCTGCATCTGACAAAAGCGACAGCCATTCTAGCCTCAAGTGAACTTGGCCTTGCCCACCTTGTAGAGGGAACCACTAGAAGAAATTGAGATGTAGTAGAGATCAGATATCTGCTTAACTACTTCCCTACCAATGTAGCAACTACCGTCTGCCCAAAGGGTGAGATCAGCCCCCACCTTCCTCTTCTCCCAACTTACATCATCCAGAACACCAGCCTGTAACACCTTCCCTACATCCAGCTTCATTCTGGGGTGGGGAGGGGAGAGGGTAGTGAAAGGAAGAAAAGGGGAGTGTTGTAATTAGCAGCAGGTCAGTGGCCCTCCACTCACCCACCGAGAAATGACTGGCAGATCTCAGACTCCCTTATTCCTCTCAGGAGATATTCACCTGCATGCGTGAATGTGTGCATGGTAGGGGTCAGGGGTGGGGAGGTTAGGAAGGAAAATGATACATTATTCCCAGGCCCAGAAGGTGAGTATAATTACCTCCAGAACCTCGGTAGCATGGGCTTTATTATTATTATTATTATTATTTTTTTTTTTTTTTTTTTTGAGACGGAGTCTGGCTCTGTCGCCCAGGCTGGAGTGCAGTGGCACGATCTTGGCTCACTGCAAGCTCTGCCTCCTGGGTTCACCCGCCATTCTCCTGCCTCAGCCTCCCGAGTAGCTGGGACTACAGGCGCCTGCCACCACGCCCGGCTAATTTTTGTATATTTAGTAGAGATGGGGTTTCACGGTGTTAGCCAGGATGGTCTTGATCTCCTGACCTCATGATCCGCAAGTCTTGGTCAACAAAAGTGCTGGGATTACAGGCGTGAGCCACCGCACCCGGCCAGCATGGGCTTTAGAATCCTAACAGGCAGAGTCTCACCTGCCCAGAAAGTCATCTTTATCTGGATCCTTGTCGAACACCTCCACTTCAATCTCCTGCCCTGGGACCTCGTGTACCATCACCTAGGGAACACAGAAGGCTGAGTGTCTCATGGGGCTGCAGCTGTGAGGATCATCTCATCAGCATCTTCTCTCACAGCCTCCTGGGGCTTCCCCATTTCACACAGCTGCTCAACTCTCCCACCTCGTAAGTCTCTCCCCACTGTGGGTTGAGTTCTTCATCAATGACACGACTGCAGAACGTCTGGGTGCCCAAACGCACAAGTGCGTATGGGTCTGACTTGCCCTCAATCAGGCCCTTCACATATTTGTCCTTGGAACTCAGCCCTCGAGCAGCCAGCAAGTGAATTCGAATAATGCCCTGGAGGAAGGAATCAGATGGTGAGAAACTAAGGACCCAGCAAGGTGTTCCTGAGAGAAGGATCTATCTAGTGGGGAAAAGGCCATACCCTGGGCAGAGGGGAACGCAACTGAGCCACATCTTGAAGGTCAGGCACAAGGGGCACCAGTAATCGATTGGGCAACACGAGGAAGGCAGCGATGGAGTCCATGATCATGGTGTCAGAAAGTGAGCTGAATGGGGGAGTAGAAAGCAATGGGTATGGCCTCAACTTCAATTTTCTCCTAACCCCAACTATGTTTCCCACACCTAAAGCTGTAAGAAAGTCCTTTTGTAAAAATCCTTTCTGCTACTCTTCTACCCTAATTCCCCACCTACTGCTCTCTCCCTTCTTCACTGCCATCCCCATTGCCTTTTGCAGTCTTCAGCCCTCTTCATTCCCTACCTGCTCCCTCAACCCGAAGAAAAATCACAGTATCAAACTTTCCAGGGGTATTTGTCTTCGCTCCCCAACTGAAGTTGAGGCTCCTAGAGGACACAAGCAGCATCTTTGACTGCTCTGTGTCCCTTAAACCCCCAACCCAGTGCTGGAACACTCAGCAGGTGCTCAGTAAGTCCTAGATACCTAAGTCCTGGGATATCCAGCAGGTTGGTCATCCCTGTCCAGTTGATGTCTAGGGTCTGCAGGGAAAGAGCAGGGGTCAGGACAGATCCTATGGGGTGTGGTCATACCCATCCAACAGTTGCCAGACCCGTCGGCCTTCTTGTCAATTCCATTCTCATTCCGCATCGCTGGCTGCCGTCATCCTCCCAGTCCTCTCTGCTTCCCCTGCTTCCCCATACCCCTTCATTGTTTTCCCTTACCGGGCGTCGGATGAAGAACATCGACACAGCCCCCACAATGGGAAGGTCCCCAATGAGTGGCTCCAGAATCACCCGCAAGACACCATGTAGCTGAGGCAAGAAGAGAAAATCAAAGCCTTTCCCCAGAAAAGTCCCTCTTCTGTCCTCCCAGACTTTCTCAGCCTTGGTCTTTCCAACCTCACAGTTCCCCATATCCCATGAAATGTAGGACAAACATTCCCTATTATGTGGGCCCCTGACATATGGCCTACCTGCATGCCCTTGACTCCTGCTTTGCAGAAATATTTCTTCACTTCTACATCAATCTGCACATCACCTACATAGCTGGGGATTGATAAAGAAGAGAACCAAGAGGGTTAGTCCTTGGCTGAAGTTGCGGGGAAGGGGAGTGAAGTAGCCTGGACTGACTAGGACACATTGAAGGGGAAGCAGTAAGAGTGGTGAGTGGTATTACCTGATGTTCAAGTCCAGCAGGATCTGCTCTTTTCTCTGACCTGGGTGAACCTTGACTCCAATGATGCGCAATGGCTAAGGAGAGAGAAAGTCCTGAGACAGGGGAGGGAAAGGGAGAAGTACCTCAGTCTACTCCGGGTCACTCACCCTCCCTATCCCACCGCCTCACTTTTCCTCCTCCACACATACCTTTTCACCCAGTTCCACTCGTGTAAATGTAAATGTTTGCAGATGGGGGTTAGATCCCCTAACAGCCGGAGCCACAGTCTCAGCCAGAAGTTTCTCCATATACTGGCCCAGGAAGGGCCAGACCTGGGCCACAATCTGGGAGGAAAGAGAGATGGTCAGAGGAGAACCCAGTCTTCCCTCTCAAGGCAAGTTCCTTCAGAATCTCTATGGAGACCACTGAAGGATGAGGGTGGGTCTGGCAAGAAGAAACAAACTCCCATTCTCCCCTCACGAAGACTAAAAATCAAATCAATCCTCACCTTATTGAGCCATTCAGCCTTTTCCACGTCTGGGAAGCTGACCTGGAGGTGGGGAAGGCAGAGACAGTGACATGCACACCCTCGCCTCTGGTTTCCTACCAAGATGCTGGTGGCATGCCACAGAGGAGAGGGAGTGTGTAAGTGTGACAGACTCCACACACTCAGGGTGGATGAGGGGCTGGGATGCCCCAAAGGTTCATTCCTCACAGAATTTGGGGGCTGAGATCTCTCTAATAAGGGGAGCTGACAGGGTAGAGGTCACATTGTTGCCCTGTGGGTAGCTCAGGGACGTGGTGAAATGACAGCTACTGAGAGAGAGAGGAGCAGGAGGAGGAGAAGGGTACATTCTTTCTGGAGGGGGAGGCCCAGTCAAATCAAAGTTTCAGGGAATCCTGGGATTTAAAAAGTCCTGGTTCCAGGCTGGCCGCGGTAGCTCACATCTATAATCTCAGCACTTTGGGAGGCCAAGGCCGGTGGATCACGAGGTCAGGAGTTCGACACCAGCATGGTGAAACCCCGTCTCTACAAAAAATACAAAATTCGCTGGGCATGGTGGTGCATGCCTGTAATCCCAGCTACCCAGGAGGCTGAGGCAGGAGAATCGCTTGAACCGGGGAGGTGGAGGTTGCAGTGAGCCAAGCTCGGGCCACTGCATTCCAGCCTGGCAACAGAGTGAGAGACTCTGTCTAAAAAAAAAAAAAAAAAATGTCCTGCCTTCTCAACTCCCTTCAGACCGGGCTTCTAGAGCAGGAAGGTGAAGAGGGAAGCAAGTCCTTCCTTGAGTCAGGGAGGGGCCAGAAGACCTAATTCAGCCTGGCTTTGTGGGTTTTTTGGGGTGTGTGTGTGTGCGTATTTTTTTTTTTTCTTTTCCTCTATCTTTCTCTGTGTGACTCCTTTTAAGGGAAAGGACACCTGTGCTTTGTATTGGGGGTAGATTGGTTTCCATGATGACTGAGGAGGAGACAACCACTTGCTGCCTAGGCTACAGGTCCCCTAGGGCCATTTCACCCTCTTTCTCCTCCCCTTTCCAGTCCAAGGCCTGGGAAGCTTGGCTGTGTCTGCCTAGTGTCAATTTTGACTCCTCTCTGCTACCATTCTCCCCCTAGACTGGCACCTCTGCTGGGAGGGGCCGGGTAACGGGCTTTGCCTCTGCAAGGCTAAAGAGAAGGCATCCACCTCAGCACAGCAGACTCGGCCACCGCAGAAATAAGGGTCTCTGCCCCAACGGAACAAGCGCAGCCCACAGTCCGGAAACGGGTGTGGCCGGCCGAGGGGGTGGGGGGGAGTGTGGGCCGCGGGCACTGCAGCAGCCGCACCACCTCCTCCCGTACCCCGCCCTCCCTCCAGCAGCCGCCTCTGCCGCGCTGCAGCCTGGCGGCTGGAGGCCTGAAGGTGGCTGCCCGAGGGTCGTCCAGGGGCCGGGGCTGGGTTCCAGCGGGTACCCGGGGATAAAAGCGAGAAGAGAGAGAACCGTAAGGCCTTAAGTAGGTAAAAAGTCTCGAGGAGCATAGCAAAGACTAGGGAAACCTTTGAGAGGTAACGGGACCAGGATTTCCAGGAGCAGCAAAGGCGCGAGTGGCACCAAAAGCAAGAGGGGCGTTGAAGATGGCTTGGCTAGGAGGGAGAGCTTCGGCTGAGACGGGGTCCCCAGATGTTATGACTGCTGTTGCCCAAGAGTAGAGGAAGAAGTCCTGATTCTGTGGAAGGATCCAGTCTGGGCGGGGGGAAGGGTGGGTGGGGAGAGTCAGCAGTCGGTCCCAAGAGTGGCGCGTCCAGCAGGCAGGCAGCTAGCGGGGAGAGAGGGGAAAGTCTGGGGCCCACTGTCCCAAGGCGGGGAGCTGACTCTAGGCATAAGGAGGAAAAGCCCCAGACGGAAGGAGTGGAAGGGGGCTATGCTGCACAGAGGACCGAGGGTGGTCGCTCACCCAGGCAGGTAGCTCTCGATGACTCATATAAAGAGTTTTCGCCGTGAGCTGCTCCTCGTCGTCCAGTAGCTGCCTCGCTGCTCTAAGGCTCCGTTCTTTCTCGTCGCGGACCCGGCGCCAGCCCAGGTAGAGAGCGAGGCCGAAGAGCACGAAACCCACGCTGAGTCCCACTGCCCCGGCCAAATACACCGGTATCAGCACCAGCAACCGCCTCCCGAACGAAGTCAGCACCGCCAGGGCCTCACCCGCCGCGCCAGGGCCAGCAGGTTGGCCCCCAGAACCTGGGTCTAGCTTTGCTTGAGCAGCGGGGGGCTGGTCAGTGGGGTCGAAGGGAGCAGAAGGCTGGTCCATGGGGCTGGGGCTGGGGCCCTCTCCTGGAGATCGCTCCATTGTGCCACCTCTGGGAGGATCCGCCCGACCCAGGGACTGGCTGGAGGTTGCCTAGTCCTGCGATCAGCTCCCCCCTCCAGTGGCAAAACGTGATCCCGGGGATGGAGGTGGGGGACTTCAAGCCACGCCCCTCCTTTCTGGCGATTTGGGTTGGTCCGCGCTGCACAGACCAAGGTGGAGTTAAAAGGTTGAAACTCCTCCCCTCTTCCGCGGGGAAGGCAGCGGGTTTCGGATAGGTAGGGCCTCCCTAATTGGGCCCGAAGGCCAAGATGGGAGGTCTGGGATGGCGGGAAAAGGAAGAAAGGGGCTCAGGGGCGGCATTCGATTGGTAATAAAGAGGAAAAGGCGTGGTGCACCATTTCAAGAGAGGCGGGACCAAGAGCTCCCCCACGTGGGATTGGCGTGCCTGTGGTATGACGTCATGGAGAGCCGCACCGCCAATTTCTTGGTTTTGGAGAAAGCCCAAGTTGCGAAGTTGAGGGGTTGTGGAGCGTCAGGATTTCCCTCTACTCATTCGGACGGTTTGGCAGGATTTGGTCTGGGATATGTATATATTCTTTTGCCGACTTTTAGTTTTCATACCCTAAGCACATTCCTTATCCTTCAGCTTTTTCCTGCCTGCCTTTACGAAAGGAAAGGATACGATCGTATTTGGAATGAAAGTGTTTGAAGATTGACCCTGTCTATCCCGTCCCCAATCCGCTACCTTGTTTGTGTGGTGTAACGACTGACCCTGGAGAAAACTGGAGAGTCAGAGAATTACAGAGTTGAGATAATCCAGCCTTCAGGGAAAGTGCGGAAAAAAGCAGAGGAGTGAATAGAAAGTGAGGCTTTATTTCTTTTTGGAAATTTCCAAGAGTTAATAAGTCATCTCTATCATAGAGGATGGGTATAAGACTAGTTGGCTCCAAAAGGGAGGGAGGCAGCGCAAATTATTACATTTTCCAAGAATTTTCTGACCCTGAGGAACTTCTAGGACACTAAAATGAGCGATCAAGAGTGAGGGAAAGACAATTCCCTTTCACATCTGCCTGAGTTAGAAGGAAGGTTTGCCAGTCAGGTGCAGAACTAAGGCAGTCCCACAGTGTACTGTGTAGGTTTAGGAAGGAAAAAGTGCAGGGTACACTGATGACTATTGTTACTAGTTAACTGGCCTTAGAGGTAGAGTGTTGTCCTGGGATCTAGGTACTAGGCTAACTGGACGTTGATGACGGAAGTGTTGGTCATAAGATGATTATCTTTTAATGCAGTATATATGGGGCATATTATGTAAATCTGTCAGATGCAGCAGCAGAACTGGGGTTGATCATTGGGGAGAAACTAGCCATTTCTTAGAGGAAGTGTCTTACAGGATGAGGCCTGCAGCTGATAAATTTTATCTGGTTCTGCAGGGCATAGATTTCATCAGCCTGTGTTTACCAAAGCTGCTTAAAACCTGTCCCTGCCCAGCCTCTACCCCTTAAATTTTTTCACTTCCTTTTCTCTACTTCCCTAGGGCCAGTAGTATCTCAACTGCTTCACTCAGTTTGCAGAACTATTTAAGAAACAATATTCTCTCTCCTACATCCTCCATATTCCCAGAGGTGAGCAGGTAGAAAAGGAAACAAGGAACTTGGAGGAATTATGAGTGATCTGCTCACCAACTGATAAAGCAGAACTACAGCAGGAACATGGATGAAACTCCTGAGAGAGAAACCTCTCTATAAACTGAAATTTGCCAAGCACTGGAGTAGGGAAGGAGGTTCCTGAGGGTGGGCGAATGGAGAGGATGACCTATGGATGTTCCTTTCCAGACTTCTCCCTTCCTCACCTCATCCAGATCATCAGAAATTATATAGGGGATAAAACTTCATCCTCAGGAAGGTCTTGTCCCAGCTGGGGCCCAGGAGCCACAGGATCAGCAGCTGCAATGCAGTTACCAACACAAGTAAACAGGGTGTGTCCCCGCCCACTGACAATTCTGCTGCCCAGGTGCCACCTGGTGGTGATAAGCAGTAAGTGGACAACAGGAAGGGATGGCCATTTGTTAGAGGAAGTGTCTTACAGCATGAGGCCTACAGGAGGAAAGAGAATAAACTTCCTGGACTTGCAATCTGCATTTATATGTAAACCATAATTGCCTCCAAGAGGCAGAGGCAGAGGGTACTCTGATCTCAGCTCACAAAGATGGGAAGGGCAACAAGATTTGAGGAAATTCCTTCTGTATTCTTTATTCCTCAAGTTACTGCCAAGCCAGGTGCGGTGGCTCACCCTGTAATCCCAGCACTTCGGGAGGCCGAGGCAGGCAGATCACCTGAGGTCAGGAGTTCAAGACCAGCCTGGCCAACATGGCAAAACCCCCTCTATTGAAAATACAAAAATTAGCCAAGCATGGTGGCAGATGCCTGTGATCCCAGATACTCTACTTGGGAGGCTGAGGCAGGAGAATCACTTGAACCCAAGAGGTGGAGGTTGCAGTGAGCCAAGATCATGCCACTACACTCCAGCCTGGGCAACAGAGTGATACTCCATCTCAAAAAACAAACAAATAAAAAAACTGCCAAGTAATGATCCCTTTGTTGGATGGCTATATCATTAGAACTTTCTTATGTCAAGTCTGGAGTCAGACTGCCTGAATAGATTCCTGGCCCCATTCCTTACTTGCAGAACCCTGGGCAGGTTACTTTTTAAGCCTGCTTTCTCCTCTGTAAAATGGGTACAATAATAGTACTCACTGTGTCAACGAGACGTTGCATGTAAAGTGCCTAGCACAGAGCCTTGGCTTACATTAAGCAGTCAATGAATGTTAGCTGGCCGGGCGCGGTGGCCCACACCTGTAATCCCAGCACTTTGGGAGGCCGAGGCGGGCGGATCATGAGGTCAGGAGATTGAGACCATCCTGGCTAACACGGTGAAACCCCGTCTCTACTAAAAATACCAAAAAAAAAAAAAAAAAAAAAAAAAAAAATTAGCCAGGCGTGGTGATGGGTGCCTGCAGTCCCAGCTACTTGGGAGGCTGAGGCAGAGGTGGAGCTTGCAGTGAGTGGAGATCGCGCCACTGCACTCCAGACTGGGCGACACAGTGAGACTCTGTCTCAAAACAAACAAACAAACAAAAAAACCAAAAAAACAAATGTTAGCCATTATTCTAGAACTCCCTTTTTATTTCCTATGTAGCAAACAGGACCTTCCTCCACTGGGCAGCCCTTCAAATATTTGTAGACTTCTATTTGAAGCTTTCTCTTGCCAGCCTTTTCTGTTTTCCAGCAAACCACACTGGTTTGTCAATGGCCCTCTTTAAAAATTACATTTAGAAGAACACACTACTAAGTGGTTATACTTAACGCAGAACATAGACTGCTGTATTTATAATCCATTACCAAGGTTCTACTGCCCTTATGGAGCCTCCTAGAAAGATGCCTAGAACATAGCATGCTCTTAATAAATATTTATAAATGGACACATTGAGGGCTAAGATTCTATTTTTTTGCAGCCAACTGGAAGTCCCAGGTTGTTCTCAAGTGAATTATTGCTCATATAGATCTCTAACATTGTTCCCCGACAAGCTCAAGATCTAAGCAATTTTTTAGTATGAGAGTGCTCCAGTGTTTTAGTCAATTCAAGTTACAGACACTTTGAATATTATTTAGCTCTTCCTGTGTTACTGTTGATAAATGGCTTTTTATATGTTTACCCAAGTTGGGTTTTTTCTTTTTATAATAAAACACAGCCCTTGGGCTTATCACTACAGAACAGAGATTTCACCAACATAAATGCACTAACCAACACTAAGTACAAGTGTTCAGTCTGATTCCTCCAAATGCTATTTTTTTATCTTATTATTTTTTAACCAGAGCCATTTGAAAGGAAAAAATGCTACTATTAACTGACCCATAATTTTCCTCTTATCTGTGATGACTTAGCAGGTGAGAGGAAAGCAGCTCCTGTAATCTGGGAACTGGCTTGACACAGCTAGGCTTCAGAGCTGTTAGGGCTGACCTGGTGCTCACAGGTAGCACCCGTAAGCTATGTGTGTTTGTGCCCAAAAGTTCTCTTCTATTTGAGGTCAGGAGTTCTCTTGGACACAATCTCACAAAACACCAGCATCAGACAAGATCACTCAGTGACTGTGATGAAATGAGACAAAAAACAAAATCACTTGACAATTTTGTTTAAGCACAAAACAAGGTCAGTGTGCAAACCACAAAACAGCAAACATCCCCTTTCCCAGCTAGTGACTTCATCATCGACTGCAGCTTAGGTTCACTTGTCTGCCCTTCTTCTAGACAAGCTACCCAATCATAGAGTTATCCTTGCTTCCCTTAACAGCACCCAACCCATAAAAACACCCACTTTCTTGAATCTTCCCCAAAATCACTTAACCAAAGTCTAAGTCCTCTAAGTCCTTCCTAACACCCTCATGCTGAGACACACCACGTATTCTCAATGGTGAGCCCTCCCCCTCACTGCAATGAGCATTAAACCCAACTTGCTCAATTACCAGGTGTATTCTTGGTGGTCTTTAGCTGGAGTAAACACATACAAGACATACAACATCTAAAGTTTCCAAATCTACCTCTTTGGAGATAACTTGGCAAGGAGGAAATACAGTCAGTCAGGATTTGACTGATAATTCATGTTGGTATCTATTGTTACATTCTTCTCTAAATGCTCGTAAGCCATCTCTTTTAATAGTCTAGAATTGCCGGGCACGATGGTTCACACCTGTAATCCCAGCACTTGAGGCGGGTGGATCACGAGAGATCGATACCATTCTGGCCAACATGATGAAACCCCGTCTCTACTAAAAATAAAAAAATTAGCTGGGCTTGGTGGCGGGCGCCTGTAGTCCCACCTACTCAGGAGGCTGACGCAAGAGAATCACTTGAACCCAGGAGGCGCATGTTGCAGCGAGCTGAGATTGTGCCACTATACTCCAGTCTTCTGGCAACTGAGCAAGACTCCATCTCAAAAAAAAAAAAAAAAAAAAATTTGTGCCCCAAAAAAACATTACACTTATCAATGTGTTGCTTCTAAAATCCACAAACAATGTTAGCCCACTTTCAGTCTTTAGGCTTTTTAATGACTGGCCTTGACCTAGCCCACCATCTCCAATCCCAGATGCGACCTGAGTGATCAACCAGACAAGACAGCAAGAGGTAGCACGAGATATAACGAGGGGGAACACAATCCAGGATCACTCTCTACCCCCAAATCTACTGTCCCATTAGACTAGACACCTGAGTTGTTTTCCCTACATCAGCCGTGAGCTGAGGAGGAACTGAGGTTTGACTATTGGGGCCCCTGGCCTTACTGACTTAAGTAGATTTAAAACTTCTGGTGCTATGTGGAGATAGAGGAAAGGGATGGACCCTGAGCCTTGTGTCCCTAGAAGGACTCTTTTCCCAGACCTCCTAAGCCTTGAAGGCTTAAGGAACTGGCCACTGAGGAAGGGCTGGCGTAGGAGGGACATTAACTGCCATCAATTCAGAGGCAACTGCTATCAACTCCACCTGTCCTGCTCCGTTTGAATAAGGACCTGTCAACTATGTAACATCCCATCCCCATTTCTCAGCAAATACACCCTCCTTACTGCCTACCCCGCTAAATGACCCTAGGAGCCCTGGTTACTAAGGCAACCTGGGAACAGCACACACCGACAGAGACCAGAAACAGATGGGACTATTTTTAAACTAGACTAGGTGGCTCCAAAGCTTTTGCCCCATAAAGTGCCTTCCCCAAAGCCCCATTTGGTCTTGTTCTGGGTCCCTACCCTTCTTCACTGGCTTCTATCCATCTTACCAAAGCTATGTAAGGCTGGGGTCTTTATCCCATTTTGGCATGAGATCTATTTACTGCTCCCATCTTCCACGCAGAATATCTAAGCAAGTTTTCACTGCCTCCATTTGTTAAAAATAATTGTTCTTTTATTTCTTTGGAAAGTAGTGGGCCCTGCCCTATGGATTTTCAGGCCAAACTAGGGTAATGAATGCTTCCCTAGTCTTTGGGCTGGAGCACTACGGTCCCAGCCTTCCAGGGCCCAGAAGCAATTCCTTTATTGTCCAACCCAACCAACTAGGACCCAAATTGTCTGAAGGCTCCTGTCAGGCCTTCTCTCCTAATCACCCATTTCCCAATCTTTCCTGGCTTTCCCTCTGGGCAGGGTATTTTTTTCTTCCAAAACCAGTGCTGGAACCTGTGCTGTGCAGAAGAGAGGACAAGACGAGGGATGTTCCCAAATTCCCGTAAGAGGACACAGCCCTTCAATCAGTCCTTCCTCTCTGCTGGCTTCAGTCTGCGTTCCTCTGCAAGCCCCCACTGTGAGGCTTGAAGATGGACAAGAGGACCCTCATAAAAGGGAGGTGAGAGAAAACACACCAACCCAACCCCTCCTCAGGACATACTCCTTGTAGTCTCTTGTCCTAGTTCTCAAGGGAGCCCTTCAGACAGGGCTGGGGAGGGCTAGGCAAGTGGGCAAGGGCCCCTTGACCCCAGCCCTGGGAGGCTATACCAGGGGAGTGTCCATTAGCCCCATCAGTGTGGCATGGCCGTGATGCGCATGCTCTGGGAAGCGATAGGGTAAGTCACCATGGGAGTGGTGGTGTGGCTCATTGTGATTCCTGCCAAGGGTTGGGCCATCGATACAGCCACAGGGGCCACAGGAGCCACAGATACAGCCACAGGAGCCATGGAGACAGGTGGGGGTGCCATTCCCTGGGCAATTGTTTGAGCCAGGGCAGCTGACAGTGGCGTGATCTCTGGGGTCAAGTGTGGGGGTGGGGGTGGTGGAGCAGCAGGAGGTGCAGCATTAGTTGGGGGAGCCGCTGGAGCTCCAGCAGGGGCCACCAGTTCTTGCTGGGACACTGGACGAGGCTGTAGAGCCTGGCTGCTGAGAGTAGTGTGAGTCTGGGCAATGCCATGGTTAAAAGTAGCGACAGTACCCACAGTGGGGGCCAGAGTCTGCTCAGTCGCTGGTGCAGTGGAGCTCAGGGTTATGACCTTGGCCTGATTGCGGAACTGAGCATTTTGTTCCAGTAATACCTCATTGGTGGCCAGCAGGTTACTGACCTGCTTCTTTAACTCCTCTACCCGCTTTCTGAGCATGGCATTCTCCTCCTCTAGCAGTCTGCACTCCACCCCTCGTGATGGAGCCAAGCTATATTCATATGACTCAAAATGAGGGCCATCAGGGGGGCAGCATCCACCTCGCCGGCGTTTTGGGCCTGGCTCATGGTCCTCAAAGCCCCTGTCAGGAAGGTCATAGATATCATAGAGATCATGACGTCGTCCTGGGAGGACTGAGCCTGTTGAGCCCCCACCAGTGCCTCCTCCACCCCGAGCATCAAACTCAAAATCCCGCTGCAGGTGACGGAACTTGCACTTGGCTCCTCTCTGACAGTCACCCTTGAGAAAGTCACGGCAGATAGGGACCTCCTCCTTGCCATTTGGTAGGTCTGCCGGTGAAAGGCCAAGGCCAGCTGCTACTTTCTGCCTCAGCCGTGGGGGAAGCTCTCCTGTCTTCTTATAGCCATCCTCATCCTCCTTGGAGCCATGGATGAAACGGCAATTTGGGCGGCTACACTCCTTGTTCTGGAAGTCATGGCAGAAGATGAACTCGTTTTTGCTCACCCCCAAGTTGGACACCTCACTCATGTCTGGGTGGCGATATCGGCAACGCTTGCCTCGCTTGCACACATTCCTCAAGAAGTCTCTACAGATGGCATCTGAGCTGGCCCCGCCACTGCCTGTCCCTGCCCCACTGGCCTCCTCGCTGCCACCACCTCCAGGGCCTCCACCGCTGCTCCCGGTACCGTTGGCATAGCTGTCCCGGTCAGGCATCCTGGTCCCGCCCAACTCAGGGTTTTCTTTATCTTGCCACTCTTGGTGACCACTACAAAAGAGGAGAACTGTATCAAACAGGAGTCCTCCAGGGAGATCCCACTCTTCCTGACTATAGAGCAGGAGGCCCAGAGGGGCAATGGCTTTAGAGATGGAGAATCTAAGGGATAAGAATTCTGGCTGAAATGTCTGACTCATCAAAAGTCGCGCCCAGGCTTTTGTGCACCTGGTCTGGGTCAGAATGATTCACACTTGCCTGGCTAACAGAGGAGGGAAGGAGTTGGGGTGAAGCCACCTAATTTCACTAATGACGATAGGCCCAGGAGGGAGCAGGGAAAAAATAAGTGTTGGATTTCATCTTGCCTTCTGAGCTGACCTTATTAAAGTTGTGGAAGTGAAATTAAAACTGCAGTCAGTATCTGAACAGTCTGGGAGGAAACTGGGAATAGTGCCCAAGATGGGCTACTACTGAGCTACTAGGGTTGTAGAAGATGGTAACAAAACTTTCTTAACCCCTTTTCCTTTTCCTCAGGTGAGGGCTCTGTATGTATCAAATCTCTAGAAGCCAAGAAATCCTGGGTGAAGAGACTGGTGTCACCAGCTTGAGGGGAGTCTCAAAACTTGTCATATTTTAGTATTCCCTCCTACCCATCATCACTGTCAGCGGCAGAGAGGTCAGCCCCCTCTATTTCAGGGTATGAGTTCTAAGTTAGAATCTCCACTTCTAGATTTCCAGGACAAACCATTTGTGATAAGGTCAAGGTGGGAAGGAGTTAATTTCACAGGAACAAGTGACCTTTCCCCATTCTCCACCCCCTTCCTACTCCCCTCTGTGAAGATCCCACTGACATCCAGCCACACCATTCCTCAACCCATAAAGATCCTCTTTATTTATAGACTCCATAAAAGCTTTTTAAGTCTCCTATTTCCCAAGAGAGCTTTGGAATGCCAGTCCACTGCCCTGGTTCTAGCCCTCCCCTCTATCCACCCCTAGTAAGACCTGGAGTCCCTGCTACCACGTGTCTGACCTCCCAAGCCTTTCCTATGCGGTGTTCAGGCTCCCTCTACCGCTGAAATAGGAAAACTTCACATTGTTCCCTTTGAGCATAAGGGAATCTCCTGATTACTCTGGCCTTGACCTACCCCATCCCACTGCTGTGACTTTGCCTTTAGGTCTCCCTAAAATGAACGAACCAAACCAGAGACCACAGTTACATGAGAATCTGTAAGAGGGTCCTCCTCCTCTAAAGGGAGATAGTCCCAGAATAATAGAAGCAATCAAGGAAAGAAGTGGTAAAAGATACAAACTTTTAGTAAAAGGGAATGACCAGGTGAAGTACAAATGCCATCTATCCAAACCTGGCTCACGTTGCAAGTCGCACCAGCAGCAGATAATTAGATGCTCCTCCCCACCCAACTCTCCCAGAATTGATACCTGAGGTAGCTCAGGTGAAGTCCGGGGCTCCTGTGGGTCTCCACCTCCACATCACTGCTGGGTTCTGAGCAGGAAAAAAACAGAGACTTGGGTGGAAGGAGGGGTAAGAGTGGAGGACTACGGGGTGGTTGTCACAAGAAAGAACGGCAAAGCTTAGGGAACGTCAGGATTTTCTCAGGGTTCAAACTGAACTTCACCTGTCCAAGGGAGAAGTGGCGAGTAAGAGATAAAACTAATTCGGAAGGACTGGGAGTATGGGTTGGAAAACCAGCTCTGAATGAACAAAGGGTGCGGGACGCCCTGCATCAAGATGAAAGAGGATGTGAGGGTCAGAGCCCGGCTAAGGGTTGGAGTTAGTAATGGCTAGTGAGGAACCTTAAAAGGGCAGCGCCTGACAGTGCAGTGGGATGGCCGATTAGACTTGGAGGCAGTGATTGTGACGCTTCCCAACACCCTAGAGTTTGCGAAAAAAGTCCTAGGAGTTTTCCCGCAGCAAGTCTTCTAGCTTGGCAGGTTCCGTGCAGTGCCGCTGGCGCTCAGCCGTGGGCTACGTGAAAGGGACACTAAGGGCGCGCGAAGTGAAGCGGGGAGCTGGGGCTCCAGGTGTCATCAAGCTGAGGGGATGGGCAGGGTTGTGACGTCACGAAGCTGGCGTTTGCTCGCGATGCGGGGTCAGTCAGAAAAGGGGCACTGCCCTGGGGTGTGAGGACGAGCCAGCTCGGTTCTGGGGGGCCTTGTGTGGCCCGGCCGAGCCCAGTCGCTGGGCCGGCCCCGACTCCTCCCCTCCGGGCGCGGCCTCCACCTAAGTCTCCCGCCTCCCTCACCTGCCGCCGCCGCCGTAGTTGCTGCTGCCGCCTGCCGGTCCTCTAGCTTCGACAAAGAGCCGCCCACCCTATCGCTCTTCCGCTTCCTGCGGAAGAAGTGACGCTCTAGCCACCAGACCCGGAACCATACTCTATGGTGTACAAAGTAGGCGTGCGACTTGCCGCAGGAAGTTCCCACCACGCTTTGCGTGTCACCATGGCAACCTAACCCAAAGGCGCGACATAGTCTACTAGGCAGTAGTCGTCAAGGCAGGCCGCCTGGAAGGTAGGGGCGGTACCAGCATTGGCCCCAAATAACCCGCGAAATCTAAAACCTGCCTCCGGAGATATATCATATCCCATCCAGCTCCATCGAGATGCAAACCACACCACATAACCCGGGCTGTTGCCTTTGATATCCTCCATAGCACAGGCAGTGACAGGGCAAACTGTAATGATAGAAAACCCCCACCCGATGGAACCATAAAAAACATAATAGACAAGACGATTTAATTCTTCAGCTAAAAGAGCGGAAGAGGTGATTTATTTTAGGGTTGTTACACTCGGCCACAGATAAACACAGAAATAGTCCAGAATGTCACAAGTCCAGGGCAGAGGACCAACATGGGCAGTTTTGTTTATGAGCAAGGTGGGTCTCAGAGGTGATCGGCGATCAGAGGGCGATGAAGTTCTAGATCCATTGAGACAAGCTCTAGACAGTAGCATGCAGTCCCACAACTTGTACCAGCATCCCCAGAGCCTGGCATTCCATGTTTCTGCTCCTGTGGCCTCCACGATGCAACAAGCTAGCGGTTTACTTGGACCTCTGCCTCATCTTTCTTCTTTTACGCTTCAGCCTGAAAAGCAAGACACAGGAATGGAATACACCTATTCTCAAACCAGAGTTATTTCCCTCCTACATTAAATCAAACGTGCACATAACATGAGGTGGTAAAATGAACAAGCACTACGGTTCTATCGTCCTCTGTTCTATCCTTTGCTCTAGGAAGAAAATAAACATTTTTCTCCTAAAGATCTTTTAAGATTTCCAAACCAAATGTTTCTCCTAAGTTTTGTCCAAGGAACTTCCCTCCTCCTGGGCTGGCAAAGTCTCCAACATACCTGCGCATTCGCTTCTTCCTCCACTAGCAACCGTTCACAAGCAGCAGGTAATTTTTTTAAGAAAAAGAGAGACAAAGCTTATTAGTAGGCTTAGGAGGGATATGAAATGCACTCTTTAAAACCGGGCAGATTCTTAAACAAGTATGAGATTGGTCGTAGTAACTACATCAGTAACTTGGACACCCTAGCAACATAAAATCAGAACTCCACCCTTTTTTAATTCCCACCCTCTCTACCCATAGCACTTAACCGCTAGCTCTCTTACAAACTACTTTTCCTTTCCCACCAGCTCTTGGTACCCTTGAAACCCAGTAGTTCAGGAGGTATGGCGGACTTGCCTTAGTCTCCCCCTACTACTCGCCAACTCCTACCTCCCAAGCTTACTACCAGGAACCGCTCACCTTGGCTCTCATGGCGCAGAGGTTTCTACAGGGAAAGAGAGAAAGGCTACGGTTAGTTAGGTGTGATGATGGTTAAGCGTTGAGGTCAGATGTCTACGGATTGTACGCGGAATCCGATCACAGGAACCAAACACACTCACCCAGAAAAATGGCGCTGAGGCCGAGAGAAAGCCGATGTTCCGTCTACGGCTATTTAATGGAGCGCCGGGTGTCGTCACTTCCGCTTTCCACCCCTTTTCCCCAGGGGCGGGGTGACCCAATGGGCGTAACAATGGTTTTCGGACCCTATTGAGGAGGAGTAGGTTGAGTTAGTTCTCTCCGAAGACTGAGTATTTGGTTTTCGAGTTACCAATTCCCCCCCAGATTTAGTATGAGGATGCTGTGTTAAACGTTAGCACCTATTTCCCATATTGGATCGAGAGGTGCCCACGGGGAAAAAATAGTAACTGCCACCTTCCCTCGCATTGCTTCTTGGGAGTTGCAGTTCCCCGGAGAAGTCCTCCATTTTGCTATGGATAGGCGCGAACTGTACAGAAATTCTTGTTTTACCGGTTTGCCTTCTTTTCTTTTCTTTTTTTCTTTTTTGAGACGGGATCTCACTGTGTCACCCAGACTGGAGTGCAGTGACGGGATCTCGGCTCATCGCAATTTCCGCCTCCTGGGTTCAAGCGATTCTCCTTAGGCGCGCGCCACTTGGCTAATTTTTGTATTTTAATAGAGACGAGGTTTCGCCGTGTTGCCCAGGCTGGCCTCGAACTCCTGAGCTCAAGCGATCCGCCCGCCTCGGCCTCCCAAAGTGCTGGGATTAAAGGCATGCGCCACCACGCCCAGCCGGTTTGCCTTATTTTCTAAAATAAATTGCTTCAGAGTGATTCGATTCCGGAACCATCGAAGGTCCTAAGATTTCAGAACATAGGAAGATATAAAGTGGGGATTCGGGAAAGCTGCCATACTTCAAAAAATATCCTTTCACTGTTTAAGATAGAGCAATTCTTTTTCCTAAACTTCAAGAATAAAATAGCTGACTATGGTCTTTCCTCACGAAGCCTGAAGCAAAATATCACTAGAGATTCCTGGCTACAATGCATCATTTGTTCAGAAAATACGTCAGCGGGCCGGGCGCGATCATCCCAGCACTTTGGGAGGCTGAGGTGGGGGAATCTCGAGCCCGGGAAGTCGAGGCTGCAGTGACCTATGCAGTGATTATCTAGGGGTGAAGAGCGAACCAATGGACATAGGGAGAAAATTAGCCAAATCTAGGGAAAGTATGACATTTGGTGTTAAGATAAAGAACTTCCCACTTTGATTGCATGCTGAGGTGAGAAGCACTGGAAAACAACCAGATCCCCTATTTGGCTACAGGAAAGTTTTGAGTTAATGGGGGATGAAAAAGAACCCTTTCCCTAGAGAGAGACTTCATCTTATAGTTTAAAATACTGTAACATTTTGTATGTGATTGTTACAGTCCCTCTTTTTTTGTGGTTTCCCTTTATTATATTCTATAACATTTCACTTTCAATCCCTGAAAAACGTTTTTAAAATTAGGTTCCTTCTAAGTAGTTCTAGTATTGTCACCACCCAAACATATATGACAAGTTTTTTGAAACAAAAAAAATCCTATCAGAATTATTTTGTATCAATTCCACCAAGATTTCAACTGATGATTGCCAACTGGTCTATAAGCTCTTTAGGGAAATTTTGTTTTGTTTTTGATAAGGAGTTTCACTCTTGTCACCCAGGCTGGAGTGCGGTGGCCCGATCTTGGCTCACTGCAACCTCCGCCTCCTGGGTTCAAGCGATTCTCCTGCCTCAGCCTCCCAAGTAGCTGGGATTACAGACGCCCGCCACTAAGCCCAGCTTTTTGTATTTTTAGTAGAGATGGGGTTTCACCATGTTGGCCAGGCTGGTCTTGATCTCCTGACCGCAGGTGATCTGCCTGCCTCGGCCTCCCAAAGTGCTGGAATTACAGGCATGAGCACTTGACCGTTTTTTTGTTTTTTTGTTTTTTAATAGACTTAATTTTTTAGAAGTTTTAGGTTCACAGCAAAATTGAGGAAGGTTAGACATTTCCCACACATATAGCCTCTCCCTTTATAAACATCCCTCCACCCTGCCAGTGGTACATTTGTTAACAATTGAACCTACATTGATATACCATTATCACCCCAAATCCATAGTTTAGTTTACACTACAGTTCACTCTTGGCATTGTACATTCTTTGCCTTTGAACAAATGTGTAAGCAAGGAGAGAGGGATGAACAGGCAAAACACAGAGGATTTTTAGGGCACTGAAACCACTATTTTAATGGTGGATATACGTCATTAGACATTTGTCCTGTGTTCAGTTCTGTTCACTTGTAGTATCTCTAGTTTAGCAATGCCTGACATGCAGTAAGATAAACTAATTACCCATCTGACCTCAGTCTGGCCCTGAAAACTAGTGTACCAGACATTCTTCCTGGCTTCCTGAATTCAAGATAAACACTTGCAGTGCTGTTTTTGCAGTACACATTAAGTGTCCTAGCCCGAAACAAATCTTAGCAGTGAGGACTGTTTCTACTTAGAAAATTACATCACCCAACTCCAGCAGATAACTTACTATGTCATCAAAGATTCTAGGATTTGTGTCTTCTGCAAGTCAAGACATTGCTCGTTTTGGGAAGGCAGAGCATGGCACTGTGGAGGAACAGTTCCAATACTACTTCAACTGACATTCTCCCCATCTCCATCAAATAAGAGCAGCATACAAAGCACATCATTATGAGCAAATCCAAATTTATTTTAATGTCATGTCATTTTCAATGTGTTTAAAAACCTCATAAGTTAGTGGGAGCCCTAGTTTCCTGGGACAGCATGCCAGAGGTACTGAAATTTGTCACCTTTCTCTACAAACCCCCAGCAATCCAATCCAAGTCCATAGCTTCAGAAAGCCAGGAGTTGTATCTTCAGTCAGTCTACTCCTCTGGTTCTTGGTTTTTCTTTCAAGGGAGGGAGATCACAATATTTCAAACAGGGAACAAAACCAGTTGAGCTTCCAGCTCAGGTTTGTGTAAGATGGAGTGAGGAAAGACCCCACTGACTCCAGAGAAAAGGGTAAGGTTGAGATGGATTATTTCTTTACAGCTTTGTGAAAATGGAAGAAAAAAGATTTACAAATGAGGATCCATTTCATAGATGAGAATCTCTTCATAAATGAAGGCTCCAGCTCCTAAAATGGGAGGGGCCTGACTGGACAGCCTGAATCAGATGAGGAATCGGCCACACTGAATAAAAACAATCTGAAAAATAATCCTCCTAATTTTGAAGCCAGATAAAATACTTGGGGAGAATGGAAAAAAGAGGAAAAAGCCCCAAACAGATGGAAAAATGCTGACATCAGAGTGGTATAAAAAAATTCAGCTGAGTTTTCAGTGGTGATGGCTAATTTAGCCCTGTTCTGTAGTAGGGCACAAACCTTGACCAAGCAGAGTAGTAGAAAAGGCTAGAAAGAGGGGCTTGAAGACGATGAATTTTGACTCCTGATTTTATTATTCAATTTCTTTTTTTCATTTAAAGTAGTCTTCCGTGGTTGGGAAGCCTCGCCTCCCAAGACCAGAGTCAGTTGGAGCTGGTTGTTGTTGGAAGGGAGTGGGTTGGGGAACTGGGGTGGGGGCAGGGAGACCCCCGCTCTGCTGGCGGTCCTAGGTGGAGAAGAAGAACTGCACTTCACAGAGTCTGGGGTGTGTTGGGAAGGGGATGAGGCAGGAGCAGCAAGCTGGGGAGATGGGACCCACCTCAGTCCCCAGCTTCATTTTCTTCTAACGTTTCCCCACTGGTGGCATTCTCTGCAGTCTTGGAGGCCTATATGCAAGAAAAGGAGAGGGAGAAGACGTGTCAGTTTCTAACTATTTGGGGGTAGTGTCTGGGACCAGAGATAATGTAGTCCCAGCTACTCGGGAGGCTGAGGCAGGAGAATGGCGTAAATCCGGGAGGCGGAGCTTGCAGTGAGCCGAGATCTGGCCACTGCACTCCAGCCTGGGCGACAGCGAGACTCCGCCTCAAAAAAAAAAAAAAGTTTTTTTTTTTTTTTTTCTGGGACAGTCTCACCCTGTCGTCCAGGCTGGAGTGCAGTGGTACAACATGGCTTGCTGTAGCCTCAACTTCCCTGGGCTCAGGTGATCCTTCCACCTCAGCCTCCCAGGTAGCTGGGACTATAGGCACATGCCACCATGTTGCCCAGGCTGATCTTGAACTCCCGGGCTCAAGTGATCCTCCTGCCTAGGCTTCCCAAACTGTTGGGATTATATGTGTGAACCACTACACCCAGCCATAAAGTTATCTCAATCCTCTGGGTCACAGATGAAATAAAGATATACAGGTCTCTGACTTATAATGGTCAACCTGTGATTTTTCAACTTTACGATGGTGTGAAAGCAATATGGATATTTCAATACATGATAATTTGTTCAATAAATGTTTTGAGCACACTGAAGGTAGGCCAGGCTAAGCTATGAGGTTCATAGTAGGTTAAGGTATATCAAATCCATTTAGAGTCAGGCATGGTGGTGGCCACTCAGCAGGTTAAGGCCGGACAATCACTTGAACCCAGGAGGAGCATGAGGCTACAGTGAGCTATGATCATGCCACTACACGTCAGCCTGGGTGACAGAGTGAGATCATCTTTTTTTGAGACGGAGTTTCACTCTTGTTGTCCAGCAGAAATGGTGCGACCTCGGCTCACTGCAACCTCTGCCTCCCAGGTTCAGGTTCAAACAATGCTCCTGCCTCAGCCTCCCGAGTAGCTGGGATTACAAGCATGTGCCACCACGCCCAGCTAATTTTGTATTTTTAGTAGATACGGGGTTTCTCTATGTTGGTCAGGCTGATCTCAAACTCCCGACCTCAGGTGATCCGTCCGCCTTGGCCACCTAAAGTGCTGGGATTACAGGCGTGAGCCACTGTGCCTGGCAAAACAAGGCTGGACATGGTGGCTCATGCCTGTAATCTCAACAGTTTGGGAGGCTGAGGTGGGAGGACTGTTCAAGGCCAGGAGTTTGAGACCCTGTCTCTTAAAAATATATATATATATTTTAAAATCCATTTTGACTTATAGTATTTTCAATTTATGATGGGTTTACTGGGACAAAGTCCTATCATATTAAGTTGAGGAGCATCTATACAAACATCCACTACAACCTAACACAGTGGGAGAAAGAGGGATCAGGTTCACCCTGCCAGAGAAGGATGACAGTAATAACACACCTTCTTTTT